GAGCAAAATTGAGCAAGGCCTGTTTGCCTCCCCCAAATTCAGGGGACACCTGTGCTCAGCTTCACCTCACGGTGTGTCCCCTGGCTGGCGGACCCTGCGCCTGTCAATCGCTTGGTGGTTGGCTGTGGGATAATATGTTGGAAAAACTTTAGAACAGAGAAATGGTAATCCGTGCCTGCCGTCTGCACACTTGGGAGGTGGAGGCAGATGGGGTAGGAGCTGGGGGCTGTCATTTACATGGAGCTGAAGGCAGCCTGGGCTACAGTGACACTCTATCTCAAAAAAGCCAAATAAACACACGTAATAAAATGAGGAAACCATGGGCCTATAGCTGTATTGATATTTGATTTAAGATGAACAATTTTTAAGTATCACTCAAACCCAAAATATTCTGTTAAAAAGATAATAACACTTGCTGGGCAGTGGTGGCACACACCCTTAATCCCAGCAATTGGGAGGCAGAGACAGTCAGATCTCTGTGAGTTCAAGGCCAGCCTGGTCTACAGTGTGTCTTCCAGGACAGCTAGAGGCTGTTGCCAGAGAAACCCTATCTCAAAAAAAAACCAAAATAATAATAATAAATAATAATAATAACCCACATTTCTCCTTAGCCTTCTTGAAAGAGGCATACTTCTACATTAAACTGCAGCTCCTGTCGAGGAGTGAGAATTCAGTCCATCCAGCCGCTAATCCCTTCAACCAACCTGTCCAGTCTCGATGGACAGTTACACTGGGTGTACAGAAACAGCCCCACCCAGTGAAGAAGACTGAGATAAATTCTTAGGCTGGGATCCTACCCGCAGGCACATGGTCAGGACAGAAGCGTGTCTGCAGAATTGGTACCTAGGCTGGAGATGCTGTGTGTACATAATTCAGGCAGACAGGACAGTATGTATGGAAGGCAGGGAGCATGGTCCCTTCCATTATGGAAGTCAGAACTTTCCTGTGGCGGTCCTGCCTGGCTGTTGGTGAGCTGGGAAAATTCAAGGATGTCCTCACATGTAGGGGTTCCGGCTTTGACCCTGAGAGCAGAACCCCCTAGAGCCCTCTGTATGGGAGAACACTGCATTCTGTCTACATAATGCTCTGCTCAGCCGAGATCAGGAGTCTATAGGACGTTAGTATTGCTACAGATTTCTCAGATAATGCAAGATCTTAGGAACTGGGGAGAGGCTTAGCAAAACAAAATCAGGGATATTTGTTAAGGAGCCCACGGAGGCCTACAGCTTATGGAAATGACAAGACCAGGAGTAACAGTGGGGCTGCCGGGTGATCCTAGCCCTGTGTTCAAGGTGATTGAGTACTGGGCAAAGGGGGCTGGGGTTCCCACAGGTATCTATAGTATGGGCCAATAAGTGTAGTAAACATTCTACATGTAGTAAACATTTTGAAACTGGACCATGTTTGACTCATGGTTCCACAAAACTGGTATAAGCCAAACACCACAAAATGGTGAGGGAGTAGCATGCAAAATGGGTAGCATGTTTTAAAACTCATGATTTGAATGATTCCAATGTAATATGAAATTCTGAAAAACTTATTCATGTACTTTCTCTTTACCAGCTTTTAATCTGGAGACTTGTCGCCTTATGGTTTCGATGTTGGATGTATCCTTTACCTTGATGATTGTCTAGTGTTTTTCTGTGGTGAAAATAAATAAAAACCTATCTTTCTAAAACAAGTCATCTCAGGATGAATAACAAGTAAATACAAAATAGCAACCACCACCGAAAAGCTTGGTGAAATGACAAGCTGTTAGGATGTAATTTGGTGTGGAAAATAGGCAGGAAGTTTAGCAAACAGAAGGTTGTTCAAGATTGCACAAGGAGCCAGAGGTGCCCTGGCTCAGGCCTGTAATCACAGCACTGGGGATGCTGAAGCAGGAGGATCACTGTGAGTTTGAGGGCAACCTGGGCTATACTCTGAGTTGGAGGTTAGCCTGAACTCTGGAGATCCTTCCTCAAGAGAGAGGTGGGAGAGTGTGTGTGTTAGTTCAATAAGGCATCAAAGGAGATAAGAATGCCGGCCAGTTGTGAGTCTTAGTTTGACTAGTGTGTCACCCAGCCAGTTGTGAGTCTCTGTTTGACTAGAATGTCACCCGGCCAGTTGTGAGCCTCAGTTTGACTAGTGTGTCACCCGCGGTACTTTCCACTGCAATACATTTTCTTCCGGTGAAATCCTTGAGTCTGAGAGCTTAGCAAGGCAATATCAGGACCCAAAACCTAGAGCCCCTTGAAGTGCGCCCAGCTCCTGTAAGAAAATTGCGTCTTACTTGGCTCCCAATGCCATGACATCAGGTGTTCGGAGCGTTAAAGCCATAGGCCACTGATGACGTCAGTTATCACTAATGCTTTATAGCATAGCAACAAGAATTTGCCATTTTTGTCATTTTGCCATTTTCACAGAAAGAACATTGCGTTCCCCTCACCTTCTTCTTTCTCTCATGAAATCATTAAGCTGTGGAATAAGACAGTTCTGGTCCTTGACTACAGTCCAGAGAGATATGTCTGGCACCATGGGATTCAATGAATTTAAGGAGCTCTGGGCTGTGCTGAATGGCTGGAGACAGCACTTCATCAGCTTTGACAGCGACAGGAGTGGGACAGTGGATCCCCCGGAGCTGCAGAAAGCCCTGATGACGATGGGTTCGTATTCCCAACTAGATCTCTCTATTTACTGCTAGCTGCGTTTTCTTTCCCTGTGAGTGTGTGCTAAAGAGCTGAAGGCAGTCCTTTATTTCGATTGTCTATTTTTAGTGTTTTTGTTGTTGTTGTTTTGGGTTTCCTTGTTGTTGTTTTTACACGCCTTCAGCTTTTTCTGGCTGGGTGGTTTTTCTGCCTTCCAGGATTCCGGTTGAACCCGCAAACTGTGACTTCCATTGCAAAGCGGTACAGCACCAGCGGCAAGATCACCTTTGACGACTACATCGCCTGCTGTGTCAAACTGAGGGCGCTCACAGGTGTGTTCCCCGAAACCTACCAGCACAGCGGGAGCCCAGGAGACCCTTTTTGTGACATTTCTCATTTCCCCATGCCTCTGAACTTCCATTCTGTCCAGTTTTTCTGTGGGTTTAAGGCGTGCATTGGTGGACCCTTCCCACAACCACTTAGCAAATGGAGCATAACGTGCTATCCAGATATCTTTAGATGAGAGAGTAATTGCAGTGTATTTTATTTCAATGCTGCAGCTAGATCTGTCTGCATTTAAGTGCATTTGTTTCTGGCGCTGCAGTTATAAGCTGCCCACACAGACTGTCAGGTGAATACTGGAGCGTGTGCTACATCCACAGCCCTGACTTGTGCCGTTTCAATTGGAGTGCAGTTACGAGTGATTCTCCTCAACAATGGGACGCTTGAAAAAAGAGTAAAACTAATCAGTTTTGGTCAGCGGGACTAAAATGAGTGGGATATTGGGTCATAGCCGGTTTGCCATGTTACTGACTGTACCCATCTGTTTCTTTGCTTAAGTAGCGTGTGTGTTAGTTACTACAGTATCTGGAGCCCTAAGCCTTCACTGCGGTTAAGGGTCTTGAAAGCTCAAATGCTTCTACTGAGACCGGTCGTTTTTCTCAGATCCACGACCATGGACCACCTTTCACCCATGATATCACTGCTATAATAAATCTTTTAATATTCCTATAGCTGACTAATTTTGTTTGGCCTTATGTTGACTGGTTGTTGAACTTTGATGCTATTGAAGTTTGATCCTACCGCCAAATAGTTAGCTGTTGTGATTTTAGAAAAACCGTTGAAAGAAAAACTACATGTTCCTGTGTTGTTTTGCAGATACCTTTCGAAGACGGGATTCTGGTCAACAAGGAATGGTGAATTTCTCGTATGACGATGTAAGTCTCAGTAAATAAGCGCTAAGTAGAAGACATATTGAACATAAAATGGCATTCCTTTTTGAAGTTACCTATTAAGAATATGGTCATGGTGGCACATGCATGCACTCAACAGTTCGAGGCAGGTGGAGTGCCATGAGTTCAAGGCCAGCCTGTGCTATGCTTGTGAGTCTCTGCCTCAAATAAACAAACAGAAAACAGAACAGGACATGGTGGTTCATGCCTGTAATCCCAACACTTCTGATGATGAGGCAGGAGGATTACTTCAAAACTTCCTTTTATTGACTGGGTCCTATAAGTGGATTTCCCTGGTTACTCTGAGACTGAGTGAAGCAGGTGTCATTATAATGATGTCTCTTTCAGGCTGGGATGATTGCTTGGTTGGCAGACAAACATGAGGACCTGAGTTCAATCCCCAGAACCCCTGGCAAAATGCTGGAACGGCATTTTGTATCCCAGTACTAGGGAGGTAGAGACAGGTTTGCTGACCCTCCAGCTAAGAGTTTTAGGCCAGTGAGAATCACTCTCAAAAGGTGGGCAGTCCCTGAGGCATGACGCTTGAGATTGTCCCTTCGCCTCCACATACATGTCCATCCCGACACAGCATGCACACGCATGAAGTAATAACAAGGCCTCTTTCAAAGAGCGGTTGACAGGTTTCAGTCAGCTGTGTCTTGAGGTGTTGTGCAGATGCAGACATGTATGTGCTCTCACTGTATAAAGCAAACATCACTTAGGTAGCTTACAGCGGTGCTTTGCATACTGGTGCTGTTCCCTGAGATCATAAGGCAGGCACCACTGAAATCACGATTTTAGACCAATTGCTTACAGTGATAACCCGGGGAGGAGAAAAGACGTTGGCATCAGAGGGGACCACTAAAGAGGTTTCTAAACGCCCTAATCTTTGGTTTATTTTTCTCTCAAATAAGAACCGTTGAGTTGGCTTAGCAGAATTGTTGCAGGAATTAGCACTGGGGCTCCTTACCAGTATTTAAAATAAACTTAGGGGTCAGGGCCTAGTGCAGTGGTTCTTAGCTTTTGGGTGGTGACCCCTTTGGGAGGTCTAACAGCCTTTTCACAGGGATCACGAATCAGAGATCCTGCACATCGGATATTTACATGACGATTCATAAAAGTAGCAAAATTACAGTTTTGAAGTAGCACTGGAAATAATTTTATAGCCGGGGGTCACCACAACATGAACCACAACATTAAAGGGTCACAGCATTAGGAAGGCTGAAAACCACCGGTCTAGTGAGTCTGCGGGGAGGTGACAGCAAGGCACAGCCAATACTGATGTTGCTAAATGTGCATTTCTGAGTTGCTGGAGCAGGGCTGGCTTTTCTCTGTGATGCTGACAGAGCAGACTTCACAGGACAATGGTGTCAAAAGTGCCCAGCTAGAGGAGTAGGGTGAAGTCAGTTTGGAAGGCCTCACATGATGAGACAGTGTAAACCTGTTCTTTGTTCTTGTGGGCAAGAGTACTTTTGACCATGACTCTTTCTAGACCCTTAAATACCATTTCGGATTGAAATTCTTTACCTGTGGAAGTGATTCCTCCTTCCCATAAAATGAGGAACTCATCGGACTTTACAATAGAAAGTCCCCCTGCTAGGAAGACTCTTCCCACCCTACGTTTCATTTATGCATAACTTAGAAAGTTCAGATTTGTGTATTCTTGTTTACCCACACTGCCAATGGAAGCTGCCCACAGGGAGGCGCCGGCACCCTCGGTATTCTGCAGTCTGTAATGTAACACTGATTTTCCCCTTTAAGTTCATTCAGTGTGTCATGACCATCTAAGTCAAGAGGACGCTGTCTGAAAATCCTCAACATTCCCACTGGAGTCCGCCCTTGCTTTCTCCTGGCCTTCAGTGCTGTGTGCAGGTTCCCACCAACGCTCCCCGACAACCGCCGAATGGGATCATGACTTTATATACGGCTGAAGCTTCATTTTTAATTTTGATAATAAATCCTTGAAGTTCAATAACGTAAGAACAAGTCTGTTGTACCAGTCAGAACCTCCTTGAGCCATTATTAACCATGCCTTATTTTCCTGCTGTCTTTTATATAAATTTAAGTATGGAAAATATTTAAAGCAAATTATATATTTTCTCATGAGATATGCAATCTTTTCATCAGGCTTAGCTGCTATTATTCTTTCTTGCCCTGAAGAATGTGGTTAAATGCTTTGTGGGGGGTATTCTTATATAAGTGACGTAGATCCACGGGGGTGCAATACAAACCAGTGCGCATACTAGAAAGAAACCATACGAGTTTTAGAACTCACAGGTTTGAAAGCCTTGAGTGGACAGAGATACTGAATGACTATCGTCTGCCTCTTTAAAAACCTAGAGATAATTGGAGGGGCAAAAATACTATCACCATGTCCTTCTTTGTCATCCATCCAAACTTTTGTTCATTATACTTAAAAGCCTTGTATATTATAAGCTTAAAATTGCCAGAAAAAGACTAAAGGGAAATAAAAATGTATTAACTGCTTATATTTGACTAATGGGTTTCTAGATGACTTTAATTTCCCTGATGTATTTCCCTATCTCACAAATTTTTATAATGTATATGCTTCCATTTTAAACCGGATATTGGGGGTGGAGACAGCTCAGTGGTTACGAGCATGTGCTAATCTTACAGAGGACTCCAGTTCCCAGCACCCATGTTGGCCTCTTCAGGCACCTGCATTCAGATGCACATAAGTGTCTATGCACACACATAATTATAATAAAATTATAATAAAAATAAAAACCAGATGGGATAAATTTTAGAACATTGCTAACATTCATTTTTAAATGCCATGTATTATTTATTGACACATATACAAGAAAAGAACTGAAATGAATGAAGCAATCGTTGTCCTGGCTTAAACCACTGGAGTAGGATCTCCCCACTAAATTTCCAAGTCTTCTACAGTCAGGTTTTGTACACACACACTTGGAAAAAAACTTTTTCAAATGCTTAAATAATTGGCTTTCTGGCAATGCCTTGCTATGTATGTGACTTGGTCATTCTGGGTAAGGACAAGACACTCGGTGCGGTCATCTTTGCAGAGAATTCTTACCCCACTGGGTAGTTCTGAGTATGGGAAAAGTATGTTGACATAAAAGCATCTGTGGTGTTCCTTTTTTTCTTTTTTTAACAGTTTAGCTAAAAATGGTAAACTGTTTTCTCACTAGCGATGCATCTGTCTTGTTTCAGGCACAATGTGAACATGACCGTTCAAGTGAATGATTAATTATAAACCAGTGAAATAAACATTTGATAAGCATCTTCAGCTTCAGGCCACAAATATATGCTGGTAGTGTTAGTGTGTATATTATATATATTTAGTCATTTCGTGTTTACTGACCCTAGTTTACTACGTGTTTAGTCAGTAAATATGCTCAGGTTACATGTCAGAGTGTGAAGCTGCCTGCTGTGTCTTCTATGGCAAGTCTGGGTGTCATTTCAAGGGTTTTATCTGCAATGTCACAAAGCACTGCTTGAACCTGAGACCAGGCTGCCCAGAAAAGGACCAAGGAGGGCTAGGAGGCTGGGTTTAAACTGACCAAGATCTTTTGAGGAAATTATAGTTTAAAGAAATAATAATTGCCTAAGTGAATACAAACAATAAAGAAACTGCCCCAAGTTGATGACCCATATTTAAGCGGCCCTGTCATTTGAATAAACCCAAAGATGTGCTATTTAGATTTTGGTTCTGAATTAGCTTTTGGGCACATCCTCAAGTATTATAAATTGTGTGTCTGGGATGCAGGTTTTGGCAATAGTTCAGTAGTTTAAGGCAAGTCTCCATCAAGAGACTTGATGCATCATAGGTCAGGAGAGCATTCAGGAGGCAAGTCCCTTGCTTTCTCACCAAAGGAACAGCCCAACAAATGGAATACCAGTTTTTCTCTTGTCTCCTCGGGGACCATGAGAACAGAATCTTCTGATAGCTTCTCAGAGATGCTGGCCAGGAAGAAAAACAGGAAAGAGCTGTGCTTCAAAATAACATAAAGCTTTTATTGAAAGTCACTTTATTGATGTCACAATGAGAATAACATAGAAAACTCTGATATCTTATCAGCTTCAGAAGTGAACACTGATAAAATTGTGCCAGGAAGTTAAATCTCGAGATACAGTGACCTTTTAAAAACAGCAAGATTTATTTACCTACAATACGAGAACAACTTTTTAACTTGAACGGCCATAAAACAAACCACGCTTGCTCAGGACGGCAAGCACCATTTCCATTTCTGTTGGTGTTTGCCAAAACCCAGGAATTTTCAAATAGCGTAAGAACTTGAAGGGCGTGCCGAGTAGCAGAGAGGAGGCTTAAATGATGTGAATCTAAGTATACACACTTGAGTACCTGCTTCCATGAAGTGAACCACACTGATGCTGTTCGCGCACCCCATGGGGTGGCGTCTATTGTCTTGGAGGCTATGGTGGGGGAAGCACTGGGCAGAGACCTAATGTCCACTAGCATGGACTGCTTTGATTAGGTGAAATGAGCCGTTTCTGGCGATTGTCATTGGAAATGCGAGTTTGGAGGGGCAAGTCTTCCAACAAGTTAAAAAAAAAATGCTCTGAATCCTGAAGGAACCTTTTGCTGAGCACTTCACAGTTAGTGTTTTTTTTAAAAAAAAATTTTTTCCATTTAAAAAAAAAAGTGATGGGTTATTTGTACCCATTAAAAAGAGGAGCTCCAGAATCACAGTTTGACATTGTGCTGGATTAAAAAGGAGAAGGGGTTTCGTGTCAGGCAGTGATACAAGTGTATATAATTTAACAGGAGCTTGTGTGCCTCCTAAGTGTCTGGATTCATTTCAGCACTTTCTGTATTGTGTTATCTGATAAAACGTAGCACCGCTATATTTAAAGATTGGGCTATTTTCATTATTTTAAAGCGCAACCATCAGAACAAATCATGTCCCAAAATGGTGTAAATTGAATGCAGAATACACGCACAACTATCTGCATACATTTGGGGGAGACTAACCTTTGCTCACAATACAGACCTGAGGGCCTTGTGTGCGTTAACTTAATAAGAGTGCTTCATCTCACTGTATGCCTTTTTGTAAAATCAAACAGAATAAAATACATTTTGTTTGGATTTGATTTCAAGACTGCCTGTGATCGACACCCCTACCACTTCCAAAGCCCCTCCCAGTGTGCTGCAGGTCAATGAACAATGCATCAGGGACACTGTACTGGATAGTAGACTACATAGAGAACTAATGCTCCAGAAGGCCGCAAAGCACGGCCAGCATGGCTGGTGGCCATCTTGAGCTCTTGTGCCTGCTTCAGCGGATGCACTGTGGTCCAGCGCTGGGGCTAATGGACCCAGCATCTCCCCAAACTCCCTGTTGCTTATTCCCTTCCTGAGATCTATACCCTGAGACCCATTTCGTAGTGACTTTCCAAGGTGCACAATCAAAGCAGCATGTGGAAAGGAAACGGAAGCCAACCTCCCCTCCTCTGCATGCCTGTGCTTCTCCCAACTTTCGCCTGCATGCTAGGGGACGTTTCTTATCGAGAGGAAGAGTCCTGCACAGCTACTGAATGGGGAACTACAGAAGAAGGAAGGATCTAGAAGCAGCCATCAAAACCCATAGTAATGATACTGTTTTCAAAGGCCATGGCTATGAAGGGCAGAAATACAACGACCACTGGCGTCTTAAGTTTTGATTTTCTACTTACATGTGGAGGACTGACCTAACTATGACTGAAATGGGAATGGAAATGTTACCTTCTGCTTTCCAAGTCTGGGGCAGTTTTGTTCTGCACCTGCAGGGGTGGTAGGAAAACTCTGCCTGCCCCACAGAGTGTATGCTGTCAGCAGACGCCAACGGCGACCGGCAGGGACATTGTAACAGCATGCTGCTTACACAGACAGATGGGCTGCTGCCTCAGCCAATTTTCACAACTATCGATTGAATTCTTTACAATACAGCGAAGGAGAAGTTGTTCACCCCGGCCCTAGCTCTCTGGTGCCCAGAGAAGAGACCCTGCATCTGAAGTCAGAAAAGTCTTGACCACCCTACAGGAGGAAAATGAGTACTTGAACCCCAAATGAAGCCCTCTTCCACAGAAGCGGCAGCTTCTTATACAAAGCTAATAGAAGAAGAATGGAAAATTCATCTTGACTATATATTGTCGGGGGAGGAGGTGGGGGTGCAGGGGACAGTGGTGCCGTCTGGCTGTGCAGACAGGGCTCAGGAGTCCTGCCTCCTCCTTATTCCCATCAGTTCTGATCTTTGTTCTCCTCTCCCTGCAGACAGCAACTGCCAAACAGCCTTCTTTCCCTTTACATTTAAGTAAGATAAAAATAATCTTACCTTTAAATAGGCAATTATTATATTGAAAAACAAGGGCATATCTAAAGGACTGTCTAAATTTAAGGTTAAGATAGAACTATATGACCATAGGAAATGGCAGGGTGAAATGAATAAACAGACCAACCTGGCTGACATCCTGGAAGAAGAGAGGAGAAACAGCATACTTTCCCTGGCTCAAAGGTAACCATGAAAATATAGCAAAGGACAGCAGGTAAAGTAACTACAGAGGCAGAGGGGAACGGGCAGGAAGAAATCATGCAGATATGTAAGGACAGCAGAAGAAGCCATGTGAATCTGTCCTGGAACACACAGCAGCCTCCCACCCCACCCATGCCCTGGGAAGGCAGAGAATATTTAATTTTCTCATGACTGTGACTGCTTTGAGACACACCATCAATCTTTCATACGTAAATTCTATGTGGGGCTGACATTCTGTGCAAACAGTATTTTAAAAGCCTTGTGAAATGCGAAGAAAAGAAACTGTAATGAATACAGCACCCAGGTTACAGCACTCGGAAGGCATCTCAACCCCAGGCAATGCTTCTGTTAGGGAACCTAAAGATGTGTTATTCCTCATTTAGCATCTAAGTGAGGGGCTGGGATGTATGGTTCAGCCACTGCACAACACTGAGAATCGTGTGCTGCCCACCCAAGGAGCGCCCATCTCCCCCTTTGTGCAGACTGCGCATAACTGCGGTCATTTTCTATCTGGCTGATGCTGGAGGAGGGTTTCCCATCTAAGGAAAGTAGCTGGGAAGAGTTGGTCTGCCCAGTCTGTTCCTTAAGGATTCTCTGTTACTGCAGGCCTTCCCTGGGCACACAGTGGGAAGGCTTAAACATTCCTTTATGAGAACAGACAAGAACATCCCAGGCCTTTGGGCTATCTGTAGTCCTACTGATGCCAAGAGTATTAGAAAGAGAAGCGGCAGCCAATGAACACATTGCTGCCCGTATCCATGGAGTAATGACCCCACGGCACACTGGGAAGTGTGGATGTTAGCTGTGTGACTCAAACCACTACTGAGCTTCAAAGTTCCCCTTCAAAATAGACATTTAAAAAAGAAACAATCATTGTGCTTGTCCTTGGCTCCATGAGTCTACTCGGTCTACCTCAGTGAATGAAGTCATACATAGTCGGATGGAATGATCTACAACACCAATATTGGCGAGTGCACGAATACATACTTCTCGAAGCCAATCGTCAACACTAAAGTGTGTTAATTCCAGAAACAATTCTAAGAATGCTTAAACATGGAGATAGATATCTTGACGAAAGCATTAAAGCTCTTATATTTCTAAAATCACTCTGCAAGTCAAGAAAATCCTTTTCATCCCATTACATATGAGGATTACAAACGAAAGCAGCCGTCTTTCCCAAAAGGCACGTGATAATGATTGTAATTTTCAATAGTAAGTTTAGGAAAAAAAATAATTTATGAGGAAAGAGAGGTGGGGAGACAGATATAACCAGCCCACTAGCTAGCCACTTGTGAATTCCCAAGCCAGGATTTATGTAACTAACTCTAATACAAAGCATATTTACACGAGTCATCTTCATTCAAAGGTATAAACTCTTCTCTTGTAGCCAAAATAAACCTTATATTACACTAGCCTTCTATATGCGCAATGCCAGAAAACACTCAGTGCACACGTGAAGCAATCTCATTCAAAAGTCTCTTCATTTGCAACATCGTTCCATCGGTCATCTGTATGCCCTTCTGTCCTGGCCATAGGCTCAGAGGAGACATTGCTCAACGCATCCACGCCTTTGTCTGAAGCTGTCTTAGTGAGCCATCAGCAAACTCCATCCTTTCCTGTCGTGATAAACTCTGTATAATTTTTGTCTGATTAAATTGGTTTTCTAACATCTTCAAAGTGTTTCTGAAGAATGGACCATTACAAAAGACATGAACTGAGTATACCACTGCCTTCTAATCTGGCCCTTCAGTTTGGGCATCTAAGAATATCCTACACAGAGGAGAGACAAATTGTGTCCCTGGACACTTGTGGAAGAAATCAAATGTAGAGCACACTTCTGAGGTCTGGTCTGATAACCCCATTCCTCATATAAAACCGTAAGAATACGGTGGGGGGGGGGGCAGAAGTATATTTCACAGCAGAGCATGTGACGGAGCTATCAATTTTTGAGTGGCAAAATTGCATTAGAAAAGCTATTAACTTTTAATTTTAAATGACAAGATTTCACATAGAATACTCATTTTTTTTTAAGGATCAAAATGTATAGGGCTCAGAACCCCTGGTGGCTATTTTCCCTGCAGGCTGATGGTTACCTTTGCAGCTACTGCATCTACATAGCCTTACACTTTATTTAAACTTATATGCCTTGTTGAATCTTCTGTACACCATCTTCTTCAAAGTCAGCCAGAATGGCCTGCTGGGACTTACAGCCCAGTGATGATAAATGCATTAAAGTTGGGAAAACAGATCACTCCTTTCACAGGTAATAATGGCTGAAAGGATTTTGTTAAGAAACCCAAACTTCAGGCCAGAAAGGGCTCAGGTATTGGCCAGATGGGAGCTAGCCACTCAGTGGTCTGTGTCTTTCATGCATCCAATCCATCTCAGCAAGAATCTTCTGGAGGGGAGGGCACTCCATGGCCTCCAGGTACGATTAGCTGATGTGCCCTGGTAATGAGCAAGACGGCTATTGTGACAGGAACCATGCTTCTTAGACACGGAATAGACAAGCTGGCAGATTCCGAGAGAACCTGCCAGCTCCAGCGTGTCTTGAGGCTGCACGGCCACCACACATCTGGACTCCACCTTCAGCGAGATGCAAAGGCCAGACGTTTGTCTGAGCATTTTGATCACTTACTCAACAAAACCTCCTCCAGACTGTACGCACTTCAAAGGGAAGTCACACGCTTTAGATGAATGCCAGTTATGGAAAGATACTTTTACAGCATTGACCACTATATTCACAACACCATCCACTGACACTCTGAAGACCGCAGGATGAAGGACAATGATAGAGTCGTGACTGACTGTTTTTAGGCATTTGGCAAAATACACTTATATGTAACAGTTACTTTTTAAATTTAAAAATGTTTACATATGTACAGTTGTCCTTGTATGCTAGTATAAATATGAAAAGTAAAAAAAAATAAAAATACATGTTTAAGGTTAGCATATGGGTATTGGCCTCTCAAAGCGTTACAGTCCTGCAACCTGCAAAATAGTCCTATATGCCTCAGCCCTGCATGCTAGTTCTATTATGGGATGTTGTTTCCTTGTCTATGGAAAACAATAAACAGAAGCTTCATGCATACGGCATTACTGCTTGCAATGAGGATGTGTTTCAGAATGCCCAGTTCTGAATCCACTTCTGTCCCTCAGGAAAACCTGCAACATTTGGGTCATGTGAGTTAATTTTATTGATATTCTACATATATCTGTCATGCAGATTATCCATTAACATACCAATACCAGACCATAAATGGTTCCGTGTCATAGTGTAACATTTCAGGAGTTCTTTACTGTTTGGCTAAACCTTAAGCCGATGACAAAAAGAAAATGGCATCCAGGTATGAGCCGTGGCGTCCTCTCCTCTGGCATCTCAGAGGGCCTTCAAAGCGTCTGAAGAGCAGAGAGATTGCAGTGATTCTGGGTGGCTGGGTTCCTATAAAAGTTGAAGTAAACAGTTTCGATGTGACACATGTAAACAGTTGTTCTTAAATGGATGTCTCCCATAGCTGCGGACAGAAGAAAGCAAAATCAGACACTGGGAAAGCAGAAAGCGGACTTTCTGAGCTGTGAGAAAGGATTCCAACCATATATCAGTAGCTATGGTGCATGCTCTGGTCTAATAAATAGATAAAAGAAATACACGAACTTTTAGCTCTCTCTGAACCTGCTATTAACATTTCTTCTTTGTGTATGTGATGGGCACACGTATGAGAATGTGCACGTGCCCACACAAAGGCCTGAGAAGGCCAGTCGAGGACTTTGGGTATCTTCCCCTAGCGATCCCCATCTCATTTCCTTAAGATAGTGAACTCCTGGAATTCACCTTGCCTCTAAAGGCACCAAACTCAGGTCTGCATGCCTCCACAGCAATTTCCTCGCTCACTAGGCCATCTCCCGGCTCCAATACCAACCGTTCTAACAATTGCCACCTTTTGATGAAAAACATCACCATTTCATGTTACTTAAAATTTCGAATAAACACTATATCTCTCACATTGCAAACTTGTAAATGTTATTTTTAAGCTGCCTGTTCCCTTTATTTTCCCAAGTGTATTGTTCAATAGAATCGTGCTTCTCAATCACAGCTTTGTAAACACATCTGGAGAAAGTGTGTGTGTGTGTGCATGTGTGTTCATGTATGTGCACATAACAGATGTACACACACACACGCTTGTGCACACAGAGAAGAGAGGTCAATGTCAAGTGTCTTCGTTCAAGATTCTCCACTTCACTTTTTGAGATGAAGTCTCTGAACTTGGAACTCATGGGTTTGGCAAGACTAGCTGGCCAGCAAGCTCCAGGGTTCCTCCTGCCTCTGCCTCAGCCTCAGCCTCTGCCTCCTCAGTACTAGGAGCACCATACCTCAGTACTAGCACCACCATACCTGGCCTTTTACATGGGTACTGGGAATCTGAACTATGGTCATCATTCTTGTACAGCAAACACATTACCAACTGAGCCAACTCCTCAGTCCTAATGCGCAGAAGTTTTAAAATCTACACCAACTAAATCAAAATTCCACAGTTGGGATTTAGCTTTAAAATACTCTGAAACCTTACAGACAATTCCCACGTTCAGTCAAGGCTAAGAAGTCTGACTCCATTGATACCAGCACTCCCCTAAGGACTACTGCGGACCTATGAACACGCCACACACTTCCCAGCTCTAGCACTGACTGCGAGCAAACTGTTCTCTAGGAGCTGACACGCTGGAGTGAAAGGACGCGTGCTTCCCCATCCTCCCTTTTCTCTGCTTCTACTATCGGTTCTTCATGCTGAGCCTGGTCAGATCTACTTTGTGCATTAATTGCCTTCACGGACTGCAAACAACTGTGGTACGCTCAGCCAGGCACCAGAGAAGGGGGTCTGCCAGTGTAATATAGTGCAGTCTATAGTATTTCTTCAACTGTGTGAAACTGTGTCACTGTGACTGTTTTAATAAAAAATTAAATGACCAATAGCTGAGCAGGAGGTGTAGGCGGGACTTCTGGACAGAAAGAACTCTGGGAAGAAGAAAGGTGGAGCTGCCAGCCAAAGGTGGAATAAGCAGTGGTGCGGGAGAATTGTCTGTATTCTGTCAATCATGTTTTGAATAAACGCTGATTGGCCAGGCAGGAAGAATAGGCGGGAAAACCAGACAGGAAGTAGAAATGATGCAAGGAGAGCAGGAGAATTCTGGGGAGGAGGAAGTTGATTCCTCCCACGCCTGCCCAGATCACGGAAGCAGCAGGATATGAGCTACCCCACTGAAAAAGGTACTGAGCCACATGGCTAAAATAGATAAGAAAAATGGGTTAATCAAGATGTGAGAGTTAGCTAATAAGTAGCCTGACCTAATGGGCCGATCAGCATTATAACTTACGGAGTTCTCTGTGGTTGATTTTCTCTGGGACTAAACAGCTGTGGGGTACTGGGAGGCACAGAAAATACAAACAAGTAGGCCCCTTCATGTTACAAAGCAGGATGGGCAAAATGGAGATGAGGTGACGAGCATGTGGAAGAATGTGGATTAGGTTATAAGAACTAGTTATAAACACGCCGAAGCTAAGGCTGAGCATCCATACTTAATAATAATAAGTCTGTGTGCCATTTTTCTGTGAGCCGATGGCCCAAAAAGAAGACAGTGTTTACACGAATTATTCTTCAGCTCCATCTTATACTGTTTCCAGCACTGACATACAGAGGTAGTTTTCACAATGAACAAATGTCATTTCTTATTTGTACAGACTTTATGTCTACAGTGACCTGACCAGCTGTGCTTGTCTTGTGTTTTTGTTTGTTGGTGGTGTTTGTTTGTTTGTTTGTTTGTCTGGTGCTCCCCGCCAAGTTGGTCAAGTTAAGGCACAAATGACCCTGTAATTTTGATTCAGTATCTGTTAGTCTCTGAAACACTTTCAGGTATAAAAATTCTCTGAACCCTATGCTGGCTAAATCTGTGGAGACTGTAAAAGCTTCACCCTTTGACTGCTTTTTCTCCTAAGAGCAGCATCATCATGTAACTGATGAGCCTGGACATCAGTGATCATTCTTCCCGGGTCTTCACTGCACTGAAGCCTCTGAGGGCTGACCTGACTTCCCAAATTCCACTTTATCCCATATTTCACAGAATGAATGCACTGGGGAATGCTGTGAGGCAGGGTATGCCGACGAAGGTGGACTAGGGATCTAATGTTTAAACAGAGTTCCTGGTAAATTCCGTTTTAATCGTAAGGATGAATATCTCCGTACTTGTTTTGAATTTGGCTTTCTGGGGGCAGGAGGGATGGCTCAGTGCCTATGAACGTATGCTGCTCTTGCAGAGGACTGGAGTTTGGTCCCCAGCACTCATGTGAAGCAGCTCAAAGTTGCCTGCAACTCTAGCTCCAAGGAATCCAATGATGCCCTCTTCCGGCTTCTCAAATGCACAGATAGATCTTTTCACACACGTGCACATAAATAAAAATGATAAAAAACAACCTTGTTAAATCTTGGCTTTTTGGAGGCCATAAGTATGGCACAGAGTTAGAGCATTTCTCTTTCTACCAAGGCAGCAAGGCTTTGGGACTAAATTCTCCTTACCATAAAACCAAGTTTACTTAAAAAAGATAAAAGAAAAGAAAATGTTAAATTTTTACCATACCCTTTGTAGTATTCTTTCAATATTACAGTTTTTCAAATATTTTCCCTTTGTATCTAAATTCTACCCTTGGTACCAAGACAGTAATCTGGTTTTCTGTCACAGGTTCCTATTTCTAAACCCCTGTTGAGTTGTAACAAGCCAGTGGGAGGCCTGAGCAAGCAAACTAGACATGAAGAAGGAACTAACTTAGTCTTTGGAATTCCATGACAGGGATATTAAAAAGATTTTCAACGTTTCTTAAAGCAAAATACATCCTTTTTTTTTTCAAACCCAGAGATGAGTAAAACAATAATGAAAAATAAAGACATAAGTCTACAGCACTAGGCGGGCAGTGGGGGCGCACGCATTTAATTCTAGATTTCAGGAGGCAGTGGGGGTGCACGCATTTAATATACAGCACTAGGAGGGCAGTGGGGGCGCGCGCATTTAATTCTAATTTTCAGGAGGCAGAGGCAGGTGGTTTTCTGAGTTTGAGACCAGCCTGGTCAAGACTACATGGAGAAACCCTGTCTCAGAAAAGGTATAGACAGACAGACAAACAGATATAGATTATATACACACATATATAGATTTCTAGAACCAGGTATAATGGGAATGCCTGTAATCCCAGCACTCGGCAGGCTGAGGTGAGGATTCTCGTGAGATTGAATCGGACTTGGGCTACATAAGCAAATTCTGTCTCAAAAATGACGGGGCGGGGATAGTAGGTGAAAAGAAAGCTTCAAATACAACTAATAATGACCAAGGATAAAGCATGAGGGGATTGCTGTGTACCCGGGCACTCTGTCGGTTCAGTGTCTTCTCCTCATCAGGAAGCGGAGGCATCGGGTATGGGTATTTTCTGCTGGAGGCAATAGACCCAGTGGATGAAGAAGGAGACTTGGCAGGAGACAGGGTCCTGAGATGTCGAGAATATAAGAAATAACATATTATGTCATGCCTGGTATCACTTTTCAGACAAAGCAGACTCAATGCAAGCCCCTGATAGCCACTTTCACTGAGCAGAGCTTTAACTACTGGGGGGGGACAGCTGTCGCTCTGGAATGCTGTGAATTTAGCTTCCTAATTCAACAGCAGTGACGGAATGTCTAGCTGGCACTACACAGAACCGTTCTCTTAAACTACAAAGCCAGTAATGAAATTTCATTTACAATAACAAGGTAACATGGGAAAGGGGGAACTCTTCTAAGAACTCATCACAGCAAATTAAGAAGACAGCGTATTAACATTCTACTTTATTTTACCACTTAAAATGCTTCTCTAAGTACAATAATCTCAAGTAAGATCTTGAAACATAACCACGGATGTATTCATCGGTTGCTAAGTCGTACTCTACACAAAACTCATGCATCAGAGGCCCGTGTGTTAGTTGTGAAGAGCAAAGGGGAACACAAGGTTTTAATAACAAATTAGTAGGCATGCAAGCAGTAAGGAGTGCAGAGTTTCAGCCAAACAAAGTCTGATGAGGACATACAGAAAAGGTCTACTTCATCCCTACATCAGCGTTTCTCGGAAAGCAGCAGCCGTACACTGCAGAGGGTGGCTCTTCCTAGTGCAGCTGCCATACTGGTGACTGTGCTGAGCACGCTAGGAGAGATGAGCCTAGCTCATCTGTGAGAGCTCGAATGGAAGACCACTGAACTGGTCAGACCACTGCATGGTCACTGAAGTCCTCCTCCGCCGTGACCGCAGCAGCCTGGTACTGCGGCCATCAAACACCGGGCAGGGCAAGACTCCATGGCTCTCAAACTCACTTTCATTTTTAAGATGCTGAATTCAATCTAACACTTGAAAATGCCTTTCCCTATATACTCTGAGATCCACGTAAACATTCTTGATTGATTTTAAAAATCATGAGTGGCTCTATTCACTTTTAAACTTAACTCCTAATGTTCCTTCTGTGTTTGTTTGAAACTTACTCAGGATGGCTCCCTACCAGGGACTGCTGGAAGGCAGCCAGAAAGCTACTAGGCTTCTCTTAAGCTGACACTCTCTAGACTGGGAAGGTGGAAGTAACTAAGAGTAATAGTACTTCAATATCACTTCAGTACTACATAGTGTGTGTGTGTGTCTGTCTGTCTGTCCGTGCGTGTCTGTGAAGATGTTCATGGATATACAAGTACATGTGCACAGGGTACTTCAGCCTCTGGTATTGTTCCTCAGGCGCAACCTACCTTATCTTCTGATACTGTCTCACAGGCCTAGGGTTAAGCTAGGCTGCCTGGTCATTAAACACAAGGGATTGCCCTGTGCCTGTAGCCCCAGAACTGGGATTACAAACACAAGGCACCATTCCCAGCTTCTTCGTGTGGGTTCTGGGGACAGAATTCATATAGTACAAAAAGTGTGCTCCTGAGACACAGATTTATAATTTAAAAACTATATAGTTTTTAAAGTAAATTAAGAATAAATAGGATCATGATTGTTAAGAAGCAGACACACTATGTTTAAAAGGAGTGTAAAACTTGCATGTAGATGCTACTAAAACGAACTTGATTCAGCTTTTTAGCTCAATCTTTATGAGATTTAAAAGAATCAAAGTTCGGGAAAAGTAGTCAGATAAACAAATAAATCTCATTTATTTTAAGGTCATGGAAATCAAGTCCTCATTTTAGTTTGCTGCACCAGGTGTGTGTGTGTGTGTGTGTGTGTGTGTGTGTGTGTGTGTGTGTGTGTGTTCGTAGCATGAACTGTTAGCCATGAACTGTGTCATAGCCACATCAGTCTTAACTTGGTCATGGGCTCAAATGACCAACACTGTACATTCAAAAGCATTCCAATGAGAAGTGACTGAGCACTCGGCCTTGTTCTGAAATCATCTTTGCAGGGGTACCAACAATAGTGAATTAAAAACAAAACAAAACTGGAGGTGTTCTTCAGACCCCCACAGAAGCGGCTCTGCATGACTTCACGCAGTAGAATTCTAGCTAATGCATACTTTGGGCCCTGAAGGGAAGGTGAGAAGCCAAGCAGGACATTTTTAGCGGTGGAAAGGCAGAAAACGGATTCTGGTGTGGATGGAAAAGCCCGGAGCAGAGATCAAAATGGAAGAGAACAAGGCAAGGTCAGTTAGCTTAGGGAAAACGAACTGACAATCTATCACAACTGCTGAAGGGAGGCCTTTAATTCCAATCTGGCTTCCATTGGGCCACGTATCAGCCACTCTCATCCAGTTACAAAGCAAAAAGAATTTCTGGATAAATATTAGCCATTTATCCTTATGACAGTTTTAAAACCATAATGACTACAGTGGGGGCACCACAGACTTATGTAGTGAAGGCGTGTTTGTCTGCCAGTGGACTGCGGTGCACCTTGGGACTGTATCAGACTTCTGGAGCTCCTTTAAAGACAGGTCTGGGAATCCTGGAAGGGGTCACAGAGCCGTGTTCACATGCTAATTTTATAATAATCTGCTCCAGAAAGATTGAGGGGTCCTCAGTGAGGAACTGAGCATCCACAACCTTACAGCAATCGCTGAGAGATGGGAGAGGGACCGGTCTCGGGAGTCAGCGAACAGCCACGCTCCAGTTTTGTTTCGGATATTTATGAGATGGGCTACTTTGGATAAGTCTTTGTACCCCAGTTTCCTCCCTGCACAGAAAGGACCCAACAATGCCTACCTCTTGGGCTGTGAGGAACAGATATACAATGGGCATTTGACACCTTACTTTCTAGAATTTGCTTGCGGAGCTAATGTGGTTTCCACAGATCATGCTGGTGAAATGAGTGCTCTCAAGAGCACGGACACCTCCTGGGGACTTCAAAGGCAGTGTCCTGGGCAGAACTGCTCCCAGGATCTGGGGGTGGTGATCCAAGCTTTTCCTCTGACTGCACCTGCACTTTTCCAGTGGTCTGGACACATTGGGGGCACAGTTAGGGCGGGCACTGTCTTCTGAGAGCGAGCTGAGGCCTCCTGTAGGCTCTGCAGTATGTCCTTGGAGCTCAGGGATAGGACCTTCTCACGGGCAAGCCAGTCTGCCACAGCTACTACATCTCCACTACATGCTGTAAGGATGGAACAAATCTAACTCCACATGTGTGATTACGAAGGTGACCTGTGTCCTTGTCTGTGCACTTTGTCAAGAGAGCTCAAGTACAAGGTTGGTGAAGCCCAGGCCTAGGTGAGAATGCACTTAGGCCTGTGAGGGGTTGGTCTGGTTGGAGGGTAGACAGAATCATGGTGCTCAAGCTGGGACCTAGCTCAATTATTTTCCACTGCCACTGAGATCCAGAGCTGACCTCCAAGTCTGACCTGCACAACCCTTATTGATCTAAAAGGACAGCAAGATCACAACTGTCCAGGAGCTTCACCATTGAAACAAAAATATAGATTCTTCATTATCAATTCCTAATGTGCCTTTGTGCTGTAGGTACCAACATCTCTGATTAAAAGATGAGATAAAGAAACCCTCTTGGATTTCTCTCATAGCTTGGCTCGTGCAACCAGGGGTGCTGAAGCATTTCCCCATCCAAATGGTGCTCAGCCAGACAGCTTCTGGGCAGACTTGGGGGGCTGACTTTAAGAAATGGGGACTCTCTTGAGTCACCCCAACTTCTCAGCTCACCCAGGGGAGGTGCATAGACTCTTCCAGGGTACCATTTCATAAATTACTCTGTATAAAATGCTGTCAATTTGGAAATAAAAGTCCTAACCTATGTAGGACCAAACTCATGCTGTTTTTGGTTCCACGGATGGGACAAATTACAATCTGCCCAAAAGCCTGATAAAGAAAAAGAAAAAAAAATAGGACTGCAGGTGAGCCAAGATTCCACATAACATCGAAACCGTCTTACCTGTCTTCTTGCTGTTGGCCATCGTGGGAGCTACGGGTGGAGGTGGGGTGTTTGGATGTCAGTGTGTTCAGCGTGGGACAGTGTGGGGCAAGCAGAGGGCAGGGAAGGAGAGGAAGGTGAACTGTAAAGCAGGATACTTCTGTGAGCAGGTAGGAGCTATGCTTTCCCTGGGGAATACGCGAAAGCTATGGATCAACGTAAAATGCAGGGAGGTCTAATCATTTTCTCAAACTATACACAACTAAACTAAACGGTCCACTGGGAGAGAAATTCCACATGGTGTGGGTGCCGGGAGTTAAATACACATAGCACATCTCATATCTGTTCAGTGCTGACCCACGTGATGGCAAGAAGGACAGGAAACGCGAATCGTGCTCAGAAGAGGCAGGGACCGAGGCTCGGTTTCCTCTTTGCATTAGTTTTCCATAAAGTATTCGAATATAAAGTGGACATTTACCTCTAGGTCATCAGCTACATTAAAAAGAGTGGGGGAAGATGACACAGAGAGGCTTAGGAAATGGCCTCTGGTTTGTAGTTCACGCTCCAGGGAATTGGAGAGACGGGACAGCTTTAGGATGAGTGAGGCTCTTATTCTATCTGCTTCCTGCGTTTGAACATGAAAGTCCTCCACTGCTTTGTGGAGCATCTATAGCATACTCTTCTCAGCACAGCCCCAATGCTAGCAAATGGCTCTATGGGAAAGGAAAGCTAAGCTCACCACATGCTATCATACGAGCAATAATATCTCAGCTGTTTTCCAGTTCGATCAAATCATTGTTTCTGCTTGAAATAAAATTTCAGTTTAATTTCTTTGCAAGTTTTCTTTGAGTTTTTCTATGCACTATGCACTCTTAATGGTAAGCAGGAAAAATATATTATGGAACTTCTAGATTATGAAAATTAAATTGTTGAGGTTAATAGTGGTTCTTTATTAGTGGGGGGTATGTTTCATGCCCATAGAACACTACATAGCATAAAATGAAGAGAAAGCTACTAAAAAGCTCCAAAAGGTGACAGGGACATGCACTGAATGGCAACCCTTTCAAATGGCTTCATTTGAAACATTCAGAGAAGAACTAGACTCGCTCAGGAAGCCAAATACATCAAAAGGCAGCGAAATGAACGAGGAGCCTTTCCGCCTACAGGAATTTGTATTAGGAGAAACAAGGGAGAGAGAGCCAGTCACACTACAGTACGTGTATGTGCTGGGAGAGTGTGAAAGGAAGAGAAAATGAATTTGTAAAATACCTAAAGTAGGGTCCTTCAGTGTTTTTATTCACATCTTCTACCCACTTAGCTACATTATAGTCTCTTTTGAACCATGGGTTTAAATACCTGCAGAAAGCAATGGAAGGAACAAGAAAGCAGAACAAGATAGAAAAATCTGAAAATACACAGCACAAGCTTAGCCACGATGTTTTCACCCTCCAAATGCAAGCGACTACGGCAGATAAACCAGGATGGACACTGGCCAGGTGACTGTGAGGCCGTCTGCACAAGGGCGTGAAGATGACCTCAGCTACAAGGCACACGGTGCTCTACAAGGTAGTACGACACTCCAAGGAAAGCTCTCCCACTGGCTTTCCACTGTGGTCAGAAACTCTCTCTTTATCAAAAGGCTCATTAACCCACATCAAAAGCAGCTTCTTTTTCCCGAGCCACTTCTCAGTTGGCTCCCTGGTTTTCAAATAAAATTGGTGCTTTTTGAAAATATTCAGGGTGGCTGCAATTCCAATCTGATATTTTATTTAGGCACATATAACGTCAGACAATTTAAAGGAGCCAAGTTCTAGTTATAGGCAAGACATGCTTTCTACACACCCCCTGTGTTACTCTCTATAACAGAGTCTGAGGGGTGCTCTCCAGCTGACTTTTGTAAGGAACAGAACGGGTCTGGCCCCGACCCTGAAGCCCCTAAGCACACTCACTGCTGTCCAAGCTGGCCTCCATGATTTGGAAGCTAGGGTCAGTGATCTAATTGCAGCCCCACAGTTCGGCCTCCTCTTTGTGCTCTCCAGACTCAAACGATCAAGACTGCTTGAGGAAACAGCCCTCAGAAGCTGCTTTCCAAAAGAACGGCTGCCGAAGAGTAATGCTAGCGTCTCCCTGATGGACCTGGCAGTGGTGCCACCAGGGCGGCCGTGCAAATCTCAGAGGCAGCAAAACTGGAGGCACAGTGGTTGCTTTCCACAGAGCCCTGTGATTTTCATAGTGGAGTCAAGCAAAAACACATCCCCTTAGGACCTGCTCTTATAAAACAACAGGGATTTGACAATTTAAGCGTTGGAAGAATCTGGAGGTTTTACTAGGCTTTCTCTTCTAAAACGTAGCTCCATGGTACTATCGTCAACGAAAATTTATTTGAAAACAAGTCTGGAGAAATTATAAAACATATTAATTTTTAGTTAAGATTTATTTCTTTCCTCCATATTCAATACTTGGTTACTTATAAATATATTTAAACCAAAACTACTATATTTCTACTTATATTTAAAAATCAGATTATTTCTCCACAGCTCTTTTCCTCATTTTGAGCCATTAAGAAGGTATTCTGTAAAATAAAATTATGATTCCACGCTGGAAGAAAGGTTCTGTTGATCTTTATGCTAATAAGACCATTTCTGCTACGATACGTCTCCTGATTCAGGAAGAACTCACATTAGTTTTGCTTTTAGCCACAACCTTTGCCAACTTGCACTTTTCACAGAGATAGCCAATGAAAATCCGCGTGAACATTTCCACTGGGGCTTGAAACAGCAAGAAAAAGTTCAAAAGCAAATGCAGCCGCTGAGGACACGGACGGCCTCGGAATAACCATCGGGGAAGCTCATGCAGCCGCTGTCAGGGAAACACTGCCACACAGCAAACTCAGTGTCCCACAGGCAGGAAGCCACTTCCTGGGGGAGACTTTCACTGGCAATCTCTGAAACTCAAAGGACAGGGGCTATGGCTGACCCGCAAAAATTCCAAACACATAGCTTGACTTGGCATGTGATGGACCTTCGCTTCGGTTTCAGATCTGTGCTGGAGCACTGTGGGGACCTGGCACGGTGGCAAGAGCGATGGGCCTTTATCAGCTACAATAAACCTGCCTATACGGCTTGACTTAGCGTGGCGTGTTAGTGCAACATGCAAAAAGAAAAAAATAATGCGCTGGACAGGATAGGAGAACCTCTTCGTGTTCTCCAAGATGAAAAGCGGGTGCTGACTGGGTCGGGAGCACCACTGAGCAGATATGGGGCTCTGTCACAGATCAAATGACCCTGCTCTCAGCCAAGGGAGGGGCTTTGAGGGGGATTAACATGGCAGCCCAGAGTGAAGGGGCAAGCGGAGACTGACCTGTGATCCAGACTCCCTGTCTGGGGGCTGGCAGAGCCCCCTGGGCTTATGCCTTGGGATGGGAATGTCTGGGCGAGGGAGTGCCCAGGCTCAGGAGCTTGGGGCTCCCTCCTGTAAAAACACAATATATAATACAAAGTCTAAGCCAAAAAAAAAAAATTATAGCGTGAACAACAGCAAGGAAGATGCAAAATCTCTGGGTGGGAAACCCGTATAAGCAACAAGGACAGTTAGTGTTTTATTTTGTTTTCTAATTTATAGAGCATGCTTGGTGGTGAATGTTTTAATCCAGGCCCCAATTGTTCATCATCCTTTGGGATGATGCGGTTCTAAAGGGGATGACGAAACAACAGACCTGAAACAGTTCTTACTACAGGAAAAGTAAAAAAGGGTGTGCTTCCTGCGGCCGTTCTGCTCCTATGGTCACACAATGGTAGTATTATGTCATCCTATCAAATGCGATGACTTGTGGAGAGAAAGTATAAAAAGTTGCTAACATAATTCTTGATATGTTAGGTATCAGAAATTCATATTTTTCAGGAATATGTAAATGTGTATGCGTGTATGGAAAGACAGTTCCCATACAAGAAAGTTTCTGGTCATGGACAGTCAGCTTCACAAACTTGGCTCCAATGAATGAATATGAGTCATGCACCCAAACTCAGAAAATTCAGAAAAAGCTGAGGGAACCTTCTTTACTGAGAGATTTCTATTATACTGTAACATTAAATATTAGAAGTTAATTATATCAAAGGCAAGATTTCATAAAGACTATCCCTAATACAATTCTATCATGTGATATAAATAGAATTTTATACATTTTTAAAATCAATGCCTGCCCTAGAAAACACTATATGAATACTGGCGAACATCAAAGGTTCTCTGGTCCTGACCCCATTGCTTTAACACACTGCTGATCTTTTGTTTCCTTCAGAGCTCTCAAAGTCTAGTCACAGAAAGACTGTTCTAGCACTAACAGTCCACAGAGGAAGTTCCAAAGAACATTTCACAAATGTACTCGTAATCTTATGAGCAACCAGTAGACGCTGAGGAGCCCTCTTACCAGGTGGCCTCATGCAAAACAAACCAAATAACATTCCAGGAAGAGTTTATCTCCAGTGAGCCCTCCAGCACCCAAGCACTTGGGAATGCAGAAGATAAACTCCAGTAGGTTAGTTATTCATGATGGAGGTCTAGGATGCCATTCTGGACCATGCAATGGTATCACTTGAAACTGCTACTATTTCTAAGGTAAAAGTATCCTCTAGCAAATGTTGACAAGCCACTTACAAGACAATACCATTCAGGTGGAAGGTCCAAATTTCAGGGCAATGTTATTATTCCTGGACTGAAAAAGGCAGGGTATATGATGGAGAAGCTAATGTCAGTTTCTAACAAGCAGTTAACAGACACTGGCTACTCAGACTCTTGTGTTCAAAGTAGTCAGAGGTCCTGAGAAGAACTGCAGCCAGAGTGGGGTGTGAGCAGAGATGCCAGGGGATTTGAAACAGCAATTATAATCACATCTGGGGCAAGGTCGGCTGGGAAGAATACCAAGGGTGTGCTTTACCCTATGAAGGGGGTAAGGTTTGTGGAGGTAATGCTTTGCTTGCACTTTCTTAAGTGAAGAAAGAAACACCACCAAAAGAAAAAAAAAAAAACGCATGATGCTTACTTCATAATAAAAGACTTTAAATGTAACTTTCAACCCCACTAAAAAATGTGTCTATCATTTAAAGCAGTTAATGTTGCATTAGTGACAACGATTCAGATAAAGAGCAAGTTTAGGTAAATGGCCTTTTAGACGTCCCCAGGAGGAAAACTTCAAAGGGAAGCTCTTCCCATTAGTCTGAGAGAATGCTTAGAGAGCCGTGGAGACCAGAGGTGGCTTCAGAGTGAGCAGAGCCACACTTTAATACAGTGAGGATTCGCCCTAGGGCTTCCAGAGGACAGGAAGGGGGGCCCTTTGAGATGGTTGGATACCCAATGATGAGAAAAAAAGAAAGCTATCATAATTCCTTTCAAAGGAAACCAAAACACCACAATGGCAGGTGACTGGAGGAAAAAGCCCGCAGCAAGGGTGAGACCCCCACTATCAGTGAATATTGGTATTGGCACAGTTGCGGAGATGCCTATGTAAAAGAGAAAAGCCAAGATTAATTTTTATAGGGCAAAGAGAATTAAAAAGACAAAACCCAGTCCAGAGGCATGGTAGGTGGTTCTTTGACTATCTGCTATCTAACAGTCATCAATAATAGCACAGGACCTTCGAATGCCTTTCCCATTAAATGTACAACTTACTCAGTTGAATTAGATCGAGGTCTAAATCTTTTGCCTCTGATTTTCTTTTTGTTGCCTCCCAGGTTACCTGAAAAAAGATCATTTACAGCTAAATTTTCATACAGATAAATAATGGTTTATGTATACTTATATGGCACTTCTAATGGGTGTAATTTATAGCTAGCATCGCCGCCCAATGTGTGGAATTGCATGACCTTCCAATGCTTCCTGCCTACTTAGCCACTACGCCACCATTTCCCATCAAGCAGATTTCAAAGGACAAAACAAAGAGCTGGCCTCTCCTACATCTCTTTGTTGGGAGAAGAGCTGAATGGCTTATCGGAAAGAATACATCTTTACAGGGCCCCAGATGCCAGATCTTAGATTCTGAACGCTGGTCACTACCTTGCCAGGAGTTACTTCGAGGTCTGCCATTTTCACAGATGTCTGAAATATGTTTTGTGTCTGGAATCCTTTCACTCCAGGAGTGAGAGAGCCCGTTTGACCTGAAAGTAGAAGCATTTACATATTGTTCAAAAAATATCATCAGATAAATGTTTTGGAATCACTAAGCAAAATTTGTAAGCATTACGGTGCATTAAATAAAACAAATCAATAAAAAAAATCTGAAATGAAAGAATGAAGAAAACATGAAAGTCTTCATGAAGAAGGCAGAATTACACAACATTCAATTTAAGAAAAGTCAAATACAATGGAACCCCATTACAAAAGTCATAAATGGAAAAGCAGCGGGATATAATGCAAGCCAATTTACATTCCCCAGAACACAGCAACCATAGAGCAAATTCAGCAAGTATTGCAGTCACATAACCCCAGCAGCAGGGTTATAATGGGGTCCCACCATAGATGTTTCTTAATTGTAAAGCAATGATTTTCATTCAAATATTATGAGAACATGGACTTTTAAGAGATCACATAAAATCTGCCCAACTGAACCTGGTTCACTTTATGAAAGGAATACACAAGTTTAAATTAATTAAATTATCATCGGAGAGTTGGTATTTTTCTACAAAAATATGCCCCCAATGAATAAAATGTATGTCGGTTAACTGTCCAATGACTGAACTGAATCAGATCTTTATCATGGAGATATCTCTCACAAAGCCCATGCACCATTGAGCCCTTCCGCTATTCATATCCTACTATTACTAAACGAATTAACTATAAGAATCAAAATCAATACACCTACCTTACACCATAAAACAAAACTTTTATGACATTTCATAATGAAAGGAATGTGACAAACCTAGTCTGGAGCCTAATAATTTGATATGCTTTTGACTGCTCAGAACCTAGCATACTGCTTCCCAAAATCTGGGAGCCAGTCCTGCGCACTGGAAAGCTCCTTACCAGAGACTGTGGGACAGCGCTACGTTTAAGCCGCTCTCCTATGATCATTCTGGTTAATTACTAATAATGTCAGTCTGAAAGGGAATCCTCTGAAAACAAACAGAACTGGGCACAATGACTACATGCACACTACTCTCCTACATACAAAGTCACTCCTATTTTGGATGAAAGGCCAATGAATGGTTCGGGAACCCACTGATTTCTCCACATTTTACTTTTATTTAATTTAAAAGTCTATATTTGACCAAGCAAATATTTGTATCAGAGAATGCTAGTAGATCCCCGGTTATCCTCTCCCAGCTGACAAGTCCTCAAGAATAAAGGAAAAGTCATTTCTGTACTCTGTCAAGTGTACGTTACCGTGTGTGCTCCCAGGCTCAAAACCAGCACGGCTCTTGCTGTGAGTTCGGTTATCTAAGGAAATGTGCCTAAGAAAGTTCCTAGTGACTAATGGTTCCGGGTTCGTATTCAGTGCCTATAAGGTTTGAGCAGCAATGCAGATTGCTTTAAGGACCATCCACTCTACTCAGACTATCAGAAGAGGCCACGTTCCCTCTCAGTAAATGAGTTCCTCAGTCTACAAGTAGTACGCGTGCTCAGTGTTATGAGTGGGCCAACTGAAACACTTTCACTATCCTTGAAATCTCCATGGAAACCTTAAAGCCTGCTTTCTACAACGATATCTTAGTTCCCTTTACGTGAAGGTTGATCCCACCCTGTGACACCCTGCTTAGCTTAGTTCTTCTTGTTCTTAGTTCATCCTGTCAACTGATTATAAAGCAAACTGAAAGTTAAAAGATGTCATACAACTTAAGATGCTAGAACAAGAATATAGCATTAGCGTTTGAGACATAAACAATACTGTATTTATTTTAATGCTACCTATACTTAATTCTTCAACTAAGATAAAAGTTATAAAGTCTACAAATAACCATTCCAGAAAAAAATCATAATATTAAAATAGATGATTCACAGAGAAGCAATCATTTTTTTCACAGCAAGCTTAGCTTTGAAATACACAAAGTTAAAAACTATTCAATGCAGCACTTACATTACTAATTATCTTAATTGCCTTTATTGAAGCATGACAGTACCCTTTTTCTTTGACTACCAAACATGACATAAAGCTCACCATGTAAAAATATTTTCAAATACTATGTTTTGCTTCTTAAGCCATGTGTAACATGGCAGGGAAAACCCTGGGGTTTCTACACAGATTTAGAGTTGTTGCATTTTGTTTCCATTTTGTAGCCTGATTTTTCTCCAAAGTGGTTCTGAGCATATGGCATTTTGAAGTGGAGTAATCAAAGAACAAGGGATACTATTGTAACATTCAAGAAAGAAGGAAGAAGTAACCAAACCTGCTGCAAAATAATGAAATGTTCTGACTAATGGAATAATGTGTGATGGAACAGGTGGAAATCTGAAAATGCGACAGAAAGGCAGACCTCTTCTTAGAACTAGATGCTGAGTTTGTGCTGACTCCGGGAGGAATGTCGCTATAAAAAGAGTCACCATCTCCGGGCTTTTTTACATAATCTCCCTGGGGTAACTGTCTAAGGCATAATAAACATTTCAGAGTCAGAAAACAAGACACACACATGAACACAGACATATACAAATATTATTTCAGGAAAAAGAGAGGTAGGGATAATGGTCTACATGAGCAAATCTATAACATGAGATTATTAATAAACGCGACAACTTCAACTCCTTCTAGCTGCAGAGGTCAGAATGTAACCATGAAGTCTTGGCAGGCTGGACGAATAAAGCCTTGTTTTCAGAGAAATATGGAACGATGAATTATTGTCAACGCAACATCACCCTACCTGGAGATGTTAACTGCAATAACTTTTTTCCTTTTAAAAATTGATGTTGAAGATCTGTTTAGACATTCCTTGCTCAAGTAAAGCAGGCTTTTTTCAAATGTGGTGAATAAATTATTCATGATTTGAAATATATGATGACTATAACCTTGCCTTAGTTTTAAAAGATTGGATTGCTTTCTATAATTAAGTCCAAATAAAATCTCATTCGAATTTGGTGTTCAGTTTGCACCTTCATTATTTATAGAAAATTTGAGACCGAAGTTTGAATCAAAACAGTAATTTTATATTAGACAGTAGACGGTGTAAAGGAACGCAACTTAGCAAGAGGAAGAAAGAGTTGAAAAGTAGCCGAGCTTCTCGGGAGACTATGGAAGGCATCTGTGACAGAGGGTGGTGACACTGGCTAGCTCCACCTCAGCATGACGGGAGGAAGACAGGGCATCTGCTTAGCCCGTGCAGGACTGAAGCCTCTTGTCTCATTATGAATGAGCTAAGACAGCAACAGTCTCACTATTTCTTCAAAGGGAACTGGAAAGACACAAAATACCCCAGACAACTCTGCCCGCAGCCAAGGCAGTCAGTTAGGGTGTGGCCTCAAAGAGCCACATGCATCTGAATCATGACCAGTTTCACTCATGCTATAGGTGATGTCAAAAGCTAGGGATGGGCTAAGAATTCCAAACACGTATATGTCAATAAGTCTCCAGCAAAAGCATATACTCCCTAAGTCCCTTTCAATTCCGTTTCATTTAATGACCGTGATTGTTTTCAGATACTGTTTTAACCCTCAGAAACCCTTCCAGACGTCCCCTGGATTATTTTGATTCCTATATCGTTGAAATTATTTAAAATACTTGGCTGTTTCTGACTGAACATCCTCTCCTCGATTATTTAGACAGCTCATATTTTACAAATCAGAAAAAGATTGTTAAGTGAATATAAAGCATGTATTTTAAGATTAATTTGTGTGACCTTATCTAGTTTTCCATACACTAACTAAGAAAAAAATTCTTACTAAACTAATTTCTAAAACTAGCTCCATGCTTGATGGATAGAGGTTCCAGCAAAATGAAGGAATTAGTCCGGGAGTTGGAACAGTTTCAGTTTAATGGAGTTCTAGGGTGCTTCTCCTTTTAACTCCCGGGCCACACTGGATTCTTATCTAACTTCACTGTAAACGTCTCTAGAATGCACATATTACATCTTCGCAGTCCCTTCAAAACCCCACAAGGAACAGAGTAACTCTCCTTATATGGCTAATACCAGCAATAAATTATCAATTTCCTGACAGCGTCCTTAAGAGTAATACTGAACATGCGTCACTGTCTCAAAACCAATCCCTTCCTCAGTGTCTACTACACCCTCGCAGAACGTTACTTCCTGCTTTAGTGGGGAGGGAGTCCCAGGTTCCTGCAATCAATACAACAGTCCATCATTTGCTATGAAAAATCATGGAAAGCCAACTAGATGAGCGCCTTAAAATTTTTAATTGAACTTCTTTTTTGTTCTAATTGTTTTCTCTCTTATGGCCTTTGTCTTAAAATGTGGGTGTTTTTATGTTACTCCCAATTTTTGATCCTGAAAGTAATTATTTGGACTGACAAAGTGGTAGGTTTTCAAATGGGAATTTTTTTTATTTTTATTACACTACAGGCAAATATTTTAGATACACGTTTGTGCAAATAATTAAGAATAGAAAAAATGATTTGTAACTTTATTCATTTTTCTCAGAAATCAACACTTCCTACACTAGTTACAAAGTGTCATTTTTTTCTCTGTCTACAACCTCTTAGTTGAACTGACGCACCTTATTAAATAACATTGCTTAAGGAATTTCTATTTGTTAACACAAAGATCAACACCTATAACTTGATTTTGGGCAGACTATGCAAATGATAATTATTATTTTACCACATTTACAATTTATAAGTTTAGTGACTATCTTTATTCTACTTCAGACAGCAATGTGTTCATAATTATAAAGTTGTTAGTACTGAGCCCTATAAATTTGAACATCAAGAAAGTTTTTTCTTCTGTTTTGTTTTACACTAACCCCAAAACCTTTAGATAAATGATTGCTCTGACTATGAGAGAAATGCGACCTTCCTAAGAGGATGTATTGAGCAGTGATGTTTATCTCATCAATCCATATACACATCAAAATTAGAAAACAGGAGGCTGGGGGAAGTGGCCGGGTCATAACCTCAGTGTGAAGAAGACATTTCTCCTGTCCCTGCTTAGTGCCTGGCTGTCCCTTACAGGATTTGTTACTCCCTTGTTTTGAGAAATACTGTAAGTTATACCAACCCATGTTGACAGATGCATGAATATCACTGAAATATGAAGAATGCAAAAAAAATAAAAAGAAAAAAGTCAAAAACGGTTTGGGAAAGAAAAAGTGGGGAGTTCACAAAAAGAAAAGAAATGGATAGAACAGATGAGAGATGAAGAAAGGAGGTAGGAGAGATTCTGCTTAAGGTGAAACCCCAGAGCAGAAGCATGGGGTCTAATGATCACACACCTCACTAGCCACCGTGATGTGTGTTCATGTCAAACAAAGGGAAAGGATTTCCACCAAATGTAGATGGTTTATAAATTTAAGTCCATCCAATATTCCTTTTTCTGCTTGTATCTGCAAACCAGACTGAAAACTAAAATTTAAGTTCTTGCTGTAAACCATACAGCTGCCAAGGTCTCTGAGATTATCCCTCAAGGCCAATAATTGACAGGGAAAAGAAAGAGGTTTTCTGTCCTCGGACCTTTAAAGAAAAAAAGCAAGTAATCCTCTTATCTAAGGCTTCACTGTGGCCCTGTGGTTCTGTGGTTCCACTACTATAATAATATATGTGTGGGGTACACTTCCATTAGGTCCCAATATGCGGCTTCTATTTTTGTTGTTGTTCAGTAGGAAGTTTGCTACCCGATTCATTTATAGAATTGCTTGGCTATCTTTTCTAAAATTTTGAACATTAGGCTCAATTTGGCATTTCTGGGCCATTTCTATGTTAACAGTCATCTGGCGATGCCCATATGTTTAATACTGCTTGAAGCATTAAATGCCAAAGCAAAACCTCACATTTTATCAGCCAAAAAGGAGTGTGTGGGCCACAGCTGGGCTGGTGACTCCCACAGTCCTCTCCCTTGACCAGCATGTTAAGGGTTACAGAGAACTCAGACTTCACAGCTGGGAGGCAGCAGTCATTTTCCCACACCACACAATAGCAGATCAACTACTACCTCCTTGTCAATGGCCTTCCCACCAGAGAAGAGCAAAGGCAATCCTAATTTAAAGGTAAAGATGACATCAAGTTCTTGGCTTTAGTGCCTCGCATCTTTGGAACCAGATAGGTCTTTATTTGATGTCTGTGGATAACACTGCAGGACTGAAAATGTACTGATGTGTGCTGCGTCTGTTTGCCCACCCATTTTCCCTCTACTCATTAAAACACATCACCTAAAAGAACCCTAAAGAGACTTCCATACATAACTTCTTGGTCTAACATCCACCCTTTGCTGCTCTCTAGAGAGAACTATTGCACAGAACTAATATTATCAACCATGGACAAGAGGGTAAAGTTTTGTTGAACTATAACAAAATATCTAAAATAAACTCCTCTGAAGATGGACTGACTCCCCAGACACAGACTGGATTTCAGAAGAGTTGTCCTATCCGTGAAACAAAGGCTGGAGCACCAGGAGGTCTCAAATTACATCAGACAAAAGGATAGTGAGAGTGTGAACATGCTTTTAACTATGCATGTGTTTAATCAGAATAATAAACTGGTAAAAGCTTTTAAATGTCCATCATTTTTGCATGACAGGCAGTTTCCGTGTTCTGGAGAACATCCATACAGTAGCTAGGAGCACGGGTTTAGCTTTGTTGATGTCAGGCATCTGCAGAATGTTCTTCCCTTTCTGTATATTCAGCAGTATTAAATTAATCATAGTCTCACTTAGTTCCTATAGAAATGGCTCTGAAATCATCACATTGCAATATCATCAATTTAATTTTCTGCTGAAGAAATTCACAAATCTGAGATTTCTGATATGATTAGGAAACTTTTACCTACAGGAAACCTAAACAGGCCCTGCTTTCTTCACGTGTTTCAATTCTCATGAGTTCAAGACATGGCACAAAGAAACCCAGCGGTCTTAAAACTTTAATAAATTTTGTTTAAGTAATAATGAGTTTGTTAAACCAAAGGAACTATTTCTAATGTCTAATGTTAGGATTATTGTAGATATTTTTTCAATTTAATTTATGATCAGGATTTCAATTGATACCTTTGGATATCATGTAGTCACAAAGATTCTATAGATATTTAAAACTAAAGCCTTATAGAGTGCAAATTGTAAAATAAAGGAAATAGAAGAATAAAGATTAAAATTTTGATTTCTGAAACAAAATAAGTCTTGTGGTCAGAATCTGCAAAGGTCTAACTATATTTATTATATCTATTCCTAATCTGCCACAGGCACTCAATGGGACAGAGGAAAAATTAAGCAGGAATCTGTACAGAAATAAGTTGTATATGTGCAATACCTGGCATGGGCTCATCAGTTTCCAAGATAATATTTTAGTTTCGAGTATCAACAGCAAGTAAAATTAATAATTTTTAAAATGTGAGAAGTGAAATGTCTATCTCAATACTATGTCAATTTAGACAAAACCAGAAATCCCTATTTAAAAAACAACTATGACCTCTCTGTCTCTTTTACAGTTTACTAAATGGAGATCTTGAGGTGATTGACATTCTCTATAGGTTTTATGTATTATACAGGAGGCTCAACAGGGCAGAGATTCTAACCATGCAAATTTCCTCCTTAGCTACCTTTATGATTACCAAGTCATATAAAAATATTTTATTTTATAAAGAACATTGCGGAACATCCCTTGATAGGAACAAAGGATAAATCTTGTAACTTATGACCATTATCACCATAACAGTAACAAAAATCATTTCCCTCAGACTATAGGAATAAAAGCATTATAAACGTGAAGGAAAGCCAATTAAACAATGTAAACAAGCATGACAACTTAACATAAAAAGTTTGTTTCTGATGAGAAAATCTATTTCTATATACACATTGCTATTAAAAATAATTTTAGTTATCATTTTAAAATCATAAGTGATCAAGGTTATTATTACACAAAACACAAAGATGCACTTGAAACTGCATGTATGAATGTCAACAAAGATACAAAGAGTCAGACTTTCCAGTCATCTTTTCAGATTACTGTCACACATACCTCTGTTCTCGATAGTTTCTGCTCACAGACAGAAGGAAGGAAAAAAAGGAGCATTAGTTCTCGCCAGAAGCACATGAGCATAGCATTAAACACAAACCCCAGCATTCATTGAACCTTCTTATATTTGAATTGCAAAATTAAGACGAGAAATATACACAAAATTTTACTTTATCATAAGGAAGAGGATACCAAAGGGTTAGTGACAATATTGTTCAATAATTTCCATATTAATTTCTTATTTATTTATCTTAAAATTTACTTACTTTTAATTTATGAATATTTGTTTTGCCTGCATGTATGTGTCTATTCTATATGTGTGCTTAATGCCCTTGGAGGACAGAAGATAATATATAATCCCCCAGAACTAGAGGTTGTAACCCACCATGTATGTGCTTAGAACCAAACCTGGGTCTTCTGAAAAAGCAGCAAAAAGCATAAATTAGGTTGTAATCATTAAATGGTAACTGTTTTCTCAGTATCAGTTTTATTGTGTCAGATATTTAATAATTATCTAGAGTCAATCCAGTTGTTTTTGATATTAAATTTATCTATTTTACTTTATGTTTATGAGTGTTTTTGCCTGCATGTGTTTATGCGCCATGTGCATGCAGTGCCTGCAGAAGCCAGAAGAGGGTGTCAGATTCCCTGGGACTGAGAATTGAAAATGGGTCCTGTGGAAGAGCAACTAAGGCTCTTAACCACTAAGCCATCTCTCCAGCCTTGTCAATTCTACTTTACATATAGGTTTTCATAGACAGATGATAGATACATATATAGTGATGGTAGGTAGGTAGGTAGATAGATAAGATGATAGATAGATAGATAGATAGATGATAGATAGATAAGATGATAGATAGATGTTAGACAGATGGTAGGTATATACAGATGATTGGATGTTGATTTAAATGGCAAAATTAATCAAATTATTTACATAAATTAACTACATTTTTCATAGAATTAAGTCAGTCAGGGATACAAAGTAAGATCCTGTCTTAAACAAGAAAACAGAACAAATCCACATATCCTGAATAATTTGAAAAACTCTAAAACTTGGGTCTTAGTTTCAAATCATGTCTAAGGAGGATACTACAATATGAACAAGATCTGTGTTTTTTCTTAATCAATCTGCAAAGTCTATACATTTAGAAATGCTAAAAAGACAAAATGTAAACCCACTTAAAAAAAAACCAGGTAATTTCTACAAAGGTAATTTCACTAGCAATAGGTATATTTTCATTACGTTTTTTGAACTGTACCTTTTCCTAGGATTATAAAAATTAAATATTCATCTATATCAGTAAGTGGTATAAATCTATAATTCTAGAACCGTTTTCATAGGACCAAATAAAATTACTGAGGTATAATGAAACAGTCATAATTGTGATAAGCAAGAGTATGCGTGTGAGAACAGAGCTCATTTGCCTGTCGCATGACGAAAGGCCTTCCCTCCAGACATACAACTTCATGAGTGCCTAAATTACACCTGGCGCGATGTTGCGAGTGCTTTCTCTCGGCTATCCCATGCACATGAGCCACACTATCTAACCAGCCTGTGTTTTTGTGATACAGCCATCTATAAGTGGCTTCCTGAATTTTAGTTATGGCAGCATACAAACAGTGAAATAATTGCTCTCCATTTTCAGTAAAACACTTGCAGGGTTTTAGTTTTACAAACAATAGATACACACTTAAAGGTGTCTCCTTTGATTTGGTTTCAGACGACAATCATATTGCTCACTGTGAGCTGGTCACTACTCCAAAAGTTCTCCAAATGTAATAACTCACATAACAAAGATCAGTTTAAAAAGGATACAGAGTAAATTTTAAATTTAAAACCTTTTAAAAGTTGTATTTGTTTGTGTGTGTGTGTGTGCACGCGTATTGTATGTGCACATGAGAAGAGGTTGTCAAATCTCCTGATGCTGCAGACAGAAGTAGTTTTGAGTCATCTAATGTGGTGTTGGGACCTGAACTCTGTAAGAGCAGGATATATTCATAACTGCTGAGTCATCTAATGTGGTGTTGGGACCTGAACTCTGTAAGAGCAGGATGTATTCATAACTGCTGAGTCATCTAATGTAGTGTTGGGAACTGAACTCTGTAAGAGCAGGATATAGTCATAACTGCTGAGTCATCTTTCTATCCCCAAATCTAAACTATTTTAATTCCCAATTTTGTGATCCACATTTAATGCATGATGGAATGTGCTATGAAATGAGGTTAGCATCTAGAATGCAGGCTTTCCAACGGAAAACCCCAGGATGGTGTGCTGACTGGGACTTCACCAGAGACCTTAGGTCAAAACATTAAAGAGAGCTATTATAGTTTGGAACTGGATGTCCCCAAAAGCTGTGTGTTGATGTGTGGTCCCCACACAGCAGTGCTTAAAATCGGGGTCTTTAGAATGCACTCATGGATTCACAGCTCACTAGTTCGGGGGGCAGAGGGCTTGATATGGTGGTGAGCTTTCTCTGGTGAGCGGCTTTCCTCCACCACAGGATCCCCAATCCCCGCCATGCTCTTCTGCCTCGGCACAGGCCCAAAGTAACAGAGTCACGTGATGACGGGGTGGGGGGGAACCTCTCAAATGTAAGCCACAGAGAACCTTTCTTGGGTATCTGCCCTGACAATAAAAACCTAACTCAAGAATGAAAGGCTTACACTACATTTAAGCCATGACATTAAATAGTTACTAGAATACTAAAGAAAAATTTACATTATAAGTCTTCATAAGGGAAATTTAAAGTACTAGACATATAAATGTTTGGAATCAATCACTTAGCAAATGTCTGAGGCTACTAAATATTCAAAAGCAGATTACTCTCAACTTTTAAAAATTAAGACAAAAAATTAAATAACGAATTTTGAATTAGAATTGAATTGAAGAGGGAATTAGGTATCTGAATTTTGCAGATGAAACTGAGTCTCACAGAGTCTGCTCTTCATACTGAGTAATGGCTAATAGGACAAAGGGCTGTGCTCTGGATGTGAAGCATGATGCAGTACGCATTCGGTCACAGTTAAGATTGAGTCACTTCAGTGACCTTAAAACAACATTCAGTATTGTCCAAGTAGGAAAGGAGTTGTTTCAAAACCTAAAATGTGATGAATTATCATTACTTCTAACCATACTAAGGGTGGGTAATCTCTGACTGCTGAACCAGACTGATGCTCAATACAAATACAAAGGTAACGATATACAACCTTCCAGTTAACATTTAATCATGGGTGTGCATGCGAGCGTGTGTGCATGCGTGTGTGTGTGTGTGTGTGTGTGTGTGTATACAAATGTGAGTGCAGGTACCTAAGGAGGCTAGAATTTAGTGTCAGATTCCCTGAACTAGAGGTACTTGGAATTATGAACCACCCAAGACAGGTACTGGAAATCAAAACTGAGTCCTCTGCAAGAGCCAGTGGTATTTCCAACCCCCAAGTCACGTCTCTAGCCCCTAATCAAAATACTTTAAAGTAAATTTTTATAGTAATAATACTGAAAACTTTGACTTACTTATAACCCCAGGCAGTTATTCCTAATATGAGGGCCAGCACTAAAATGGTGCCAGCAATTATTCCTATTATGATATTAGTGCCAGCAACACCTAGAAGGGAAAATAAGGAAGAAAATCAGGGACACAAGCAGTATCATCTGAGTAACTATCGCACGGACAGTATCATCTGAGTAAGTATCACCTGATTTGTGAAAGGCACTGGCCTTTTTACACTAAGACTCAGCATGCGTGCCCACCCCTCCTGGTCCTCCAGAGATTTAAACAGGGATCAATGAACTCGTGGTGATTACTTCTAAGTCACGTCTCCTGGAAACCCCTGAGATCCAGGCGTTACTACACTGACCTGGGGAGCAAGAGTCAAGTTACCGTTCACCATCACTACCTGAGGACATCTGGGGCCTTGTTAAAGTCGTGTTACTAAGATTTCAAACCTGCACAGATGACTCAGATGAGTGCCTTTGTTTGTTCTTAGCCTTGGGAGGTGAGCGGACATTGGGAATTGAGCATTATTTCACGCACAGGGAGCTGAGCCACAAGAATGAGATGGCGTTACTGTTTAAAGGGAAACTTTATCTCCGAAGTGTGGACTCTTTAACTGCCTACACTTAATTTCCTCTTTTATTCTTCAGCCAATGAAGTTTTTAAGACCCCCAACCCGTCTCCTGTCATGTTTGGCCCATGTCCTCAGTCCTTGTCGTATTGGACAGTTACATTGCTTCCAGGCTTCTCATGATTTAGACAAGACACTAGAACAAAGAATAGTTTTTAAAAACTTAAAAGCCAACTCATTTTTATTTATTCAGTTCAAAAGTATATAATTATCCATTAAAATTGAATACTTTATTTTTATTATTTTATTTTATGTGTACAAGTGTCTTGCCTGTATGTACACAGCGTGTGCATGCCTGGGGCCCGATGAGGTGAGAAGACTGGGGCCAGATCTGCTGGAACTGGACTTAGTGGATAGTTGTAACCCATCATGTGGGTACTGAGAGCTGAACCTGGGTCCTCTGTTCTTAACTACTGAGACACCAGTCTACTTTCTTAACTTCAAAGAAATGTTAGAAAATAAAAACACATCAAAAAAGGTATGAAAGTTGGGTGAGAACTCAACAGGAACAAGGAGGGGGTTTCTGGGAGTGAGGGGGTGGGAGGGACGAGTGTGAGAGTGTACTGTACACGTGCATGAAATTATCAAGGAATAAACTGATTAAAAGATGCTAGGGTGTGTTCATAGCCCGGGTAATTACAATACTTGAAAAGTCTCTGCAGTAGGGCAGAATAAGGTGAAGTCAGTAGGCGAAATTATACTCAGTGTGACAAATCTTTATAGTTTAATAAAAATGATTGGTCTCACAAAGTAGACTCCCCCCTCATTACATAAAGTACCATTTTTTTTACTTATTTATTTATTAAAAATTTCTACCTTCTCCCTGCCTCCCTTTTCCCTTCCCCTTCCCCACCTCCCCCTCCTTCTCTAGTCCTAAGAGCAGTCATGGTTCCCTGCCCCGTGGGAAGTCCAAGGTCCTCCCTCCTCCATCCAGGTCTATAAAGGTGAGCATCCAAACAAACCAGGCCCTTGTCCCACATAGCCACACTGATGAATATCTTGCATATCACCAAAGAACCTTCATCTGGCGATGGATGGAGATAGAGACAGAGACTCACATTGGAGCACTGGACTGAGCTCCCAAGGTCCAAATGATGGAGTGATGGAGCATGTAATCAAACTGGACACTCTGAATGTGACTGGCAATGAAAGCTGACTGAGAAGCCAAGGACAATGGCACTGGGTTTTGATTCTAGTACCATTTATTTTTGAGTTATGTTAAAAACCTCAAATGCAAATGTCCATAGAGAAAATTCCTCTCCAGTTCTATGGAAAGATGGTATGATACCAAGTAAGATACCCACCGTTGCCAGACAGGGTGATGCCAGTCTTTGCGTCATCATTGTGAGGAAAGTGGGTGCTGCAGTCGGCACCTGTCCAGTGCCTGTTGCACACACACTTGAGCTCATTGCTGCAGACCTAAAACCCAAAGGAGAGCCGGCAGAAACGTCAGTTCTCTACTCATAATAACCACACCCGGGCTTTGATAACAACCATAAAGAATAGGTCCATCCTGATTTTAGCTTCTTGCCATACACATTGTTGAGTTACTACAATTTAAAAACATATAGGGGACTGGCAAGGTGATTCAATGGTTACAACACCTGCCATGTAAGCCCCATAACCTTAGTCAATCCCAGGAAGTCAATCCCAGGACTCCATGCATAGGAAAGGAGAGAACTGACTCCTCCAAGATGTTAGCTGACACCATATACCTCACGGCATATATCTGCATATACCCATGCACATACCATACACATATAATAAATAAAACACTTTTGGTTATATAGGATAATACCTTTTACAACACATTATTATTGTAAATTATTTTTATGCTATATATAATATTACTTACATTATCTTATTCTTATTAATCCCTTAAACTAAGCATTACTAGATAAACCGTATTTTCTTTTAGTGTGTATTTAAAATTCACTAGTAGGAAGACAAAAAAGTGATTTCATGACATCCTTCTTTGGCCCCACAAGAACTGCTTTCCTGAGTCCTTACAGGAAGGAGAGAAAACGCCCCTCTTACATTACAGGGGCGGAGCTATGGAATTATGTGCATTCTCCTTCTTATGTGCCATACGATACAGTTGGTTACTTTCCAAAGTAAATTCTAAAGTAAAGAGACCCTTTGACGGTCAGCCCAAGCACAGCTTCAGAGACATTTGATATCCATCGTATGGAATGATCAGGACTAAAAGCTTTAAATTGCCAAACAGGGTCCTTTGCCTCAGTTGGATAACACAGACAATTCAATCAAAGATTCTGTAATGCCAGCAAAAAGAAAACCACAGCACATGCTAGCAGGAAAAAAAATCAAGACAACTGCTAGTACAGAGACATTCCTGATGAAATGAGAAAACTGGATATATTCATGGAGGGCGAATTTTTGGGGGACTGGTGTTTGGCTTATAATGTAAATATGCTAGCTGACACACGATTCTGAAAGAACAGAATTAAAATGTCAAAAGAATTAAAATGTCTTTCTGTTCATCCATGAGCAACACGTTCGCTGAAGACTGCTATTTCCAAGTTTGAACCTTGGCTGTCATCTCTGGTGTGGCTACACAGTTATCTATGGTTGGTGCTGACTCGGCTGTACCCAGATGACCTAAGTAGTTAAATATTTGGCTCGCTCTTCTTTTCTCACGCCTCACATTACAGCTGGGTAGCTTGGTCTTCCTGTGGGGCTGCTAGCAGTGGGAGCAGGGGCTGTCTCTGACGCTTTTGCCAGCTTTTATGGGGCCCTTTTCTTCCTACTAGGTCACCTTGAGTAACCTTAATATGAAGGGAGGTGCTTAGTCTTACTGCAACTTGCTATGCCATGTTTTGTTGATATCTGTGGGAAGTCTGGCCTTTTTTGAATAGAAACGAGGGAGGAGTGGATGGGAAGCCAGAGTGGGCTGGGGGAGGAACTGGGAGGCAAGGAACGAGACACTGCAGTCAAGATGTTAAAAAAAAAAAAGCTAACAATTAATAAAAAAAAACATTTAAAAATTCCATTACAGTTTGCTAAAATCTGTCATTACACTGCATGGCATCCTCTTAGCATAAGAAAGGAAGACTGAAGAATCTGATTAGGAAAATTGCCAGTTTTCGTATTGCTGGACTCTCTCGATTGTACAACAACAACATTCAAGTAGCTTTGCTGAAGTTAGGGTTCACATGCCAACCAGAAACGTGGACAACCACACTGTCCACCCCGAAGGAGATTACGGGATCCCACCTGCTTCTGTACCGGAGGAAATGGGTGGTTGCCAGGGCGAGGCGCGACACTCACCCCATTCCCCGAGCAAACGGTGCCTGCTTTACTGCTCAAGCAGGTGCTGAAGTTGAACGAGGCCACAGAAAGGCACCTGTGCTCCAGGCACATCATCTGAGGGCCGCATGGCGTCCCGTCCTCCACGTAGCCAAGGTCAACATCTTCTTCAAGCTTCACGTGCCCGCCACTGACAATAAATCGGGGGCAAGCAAGAAAACAGGGCTCCATCAGTTCACATTCATCCTGAGTGTCAAACTAAGAGCAGGAAATATTCCTTCTCTGGTCTATTTATGACTTCATAAAAACCTGTAGTCAAAGGGTGTTTAATTACTTGTTCTTTTGTTTCACTGAGATAGGATTTCATGTAGCCCAGGCTGGCATCAAACTCTTTTGTAAACAAAACCGGCCTGAACTTTTGCTTCTCTGGCCTCCGCTTCCATAACCAGGGTTACAGGCATACACCATCACACCCAGAAATACCTTGAAGGTGTAGGAAATAATGGAAACTTTCGATCTAACTCTTTTCAGGGATAAATATATTACCTCTGAATTTAAACAAAATTTAATTTAAAATTAATTAAATTAGTTAAAGAAAAATAAATTAATTTAAAATGTAATTTAAAATTGAACATAATTTGTACAAAATTATTACAGTAAAGGTCATAACTGAGCTAGCTTTAGTATTTTTCCTTGCATACCATGTGCAAATCTAATTGCTTTACTACATAGGCGTCAAGATTTCAAATGTGTTTCAAATAAGGATTGGAATTGGATTTGACTTACAATGCTCCCCAAAACTGTATATGTGCAAATTCTATCTGGAATTGCTGTAACCACTGTAGTCACTGCTCATTACAGCATGTTCACGTGTTTTCTCTTAGAAATAAATTAAATAGCAATAAGAGCTGAAAGTATATATGCATAACTAATATTTTCATATGATCTTTGCCAACACTAGTACAAAAATTTCCATATTAATTTTTATCAAAATTATTGTGCATGTGTAGCCAAATGCATGAACTGGTGCTTTTGGGTCCATGTTTTCATTCATGTGTTTGTACACATGTGTACCTGTGTATGCATGTGTGTAGGAATGTGTACATGTGTGGAGGTCAGAAGTCAACGTTGAGTGTCTTTCTCAACTGCTCTCCACTGTCTTTTTTGAGCAAGAGTGTCCTCACTGAATGTGGAGCTCACAGATTCGGCTAGATTGTACCCCAGCAAGTCTCGGGGATCCTTCTATTTGTACCTTGCACTGGGATTAGAGGTACGCACCAATGTGCTCAAATGTTTTACATGAATGCTGCTGGTCCTAGGGATCGAACTCAGATCCTCATAATTAAATAATAAGACTTTACCAACTGAGTCATTTCCCCAGCACTAGGTAAACTGGGATCTTAAATGAAACAGTTATCGCTGCCCACAGCCTTCCTAGGAGAGAGCCACTTTCTACACTACCAGTCCTTTGCTATTTTTATGTCTCAAAACTTTATACTATACTGATTTATTTTATTTTTAACTGTAAGTATTATCAATTAATTTCTCCTATGCAAGCAAATTTATCTCCTTATTTCCCTTGATAGTTCTATATGCAATTTTTCCTTTCCTTATCCTTTTATAACAAATATATACGTTATTATTACCATGCAAATGCTAATAATTAAACTTTCACTTTCTGAATTACTTTTTATTTTACCTTAGATTATTCTTTCATTTGTCTACTTTCCTATGCATTTACCATCTTTAATAGAAAATCAGCCCACATTCTCTGGCTGCTAATCCCCACTGAAAACACACCTGAGCATCAGGTCATTTTCCCAGAGAGATGTCTCCTACAGTGCCCCTTCCTGTCTATTCTGGTTTTGCCCTGTACCTGGCACAAACCTTAGGCCACTCTAATTCCCGAGCCTCTTCTGTGGAAACTGTTGACTCTTTTGCTCCACAGTTTCCATAATGAAGTTTACATCTATCTCTGATGTCACTGGTTGACAATTTCCTTCTTACTAGCTCTGTTCCTCTTTATTTCTATTCTAATCAGGGAGCTTGTCCTCATTGCTCTCTTTCTTTCTTTTTTAAGTAAAAACCAAGTTTTTTTTTTATATTTGTAAATATTTTGGTTAATGCTCCTCAGGAAAACAGAAGCAATAAAAGATAGATAAAATAGATAGATAAGATAGATAGATAGATAGAAGATAAATAGATGGATAGAGAGAGAGGGAGAGAGAGAGAGAGAGAGAGAGAGAGAGAGAGAGAGATAGACAAAAAGATACAAAAGATACAAAGGTAGGCTGTTTATTTTGTTTGATGGTGCCCTATTTCTAGGGAGGCAATTTCAACCACTAAGCTTCACTTTTGCTGTTGTATTTTAATCCAAGAGAATCTTTTTCTTTCATGGTCTGTTTGATTAAAGTAGAACATTATATTTTCATTTCATGATAAAAAGTCTCTTGGGGTTTTCTGTTCACTCCAATTTTTCATGTTAGAAACTTTCTTTGCATGCCTCTCAGTACTGATCAGGCAGATGACTGGAGCTTTCTGGACATCCTCAGAGAGCATTCCTCGAGGCTGAACAACTTCCACATGACCCTGATAACAACGCTTCGACTTAGGAACATTCTCTTTTATTCCCTGTGGAGACAAAGTCTGCGTCTCCAATGGGGTGGGCTAGCCTGAATCCCCAGTGGGAGAGTGGGCTAGCCCCTTTGTGGCTGAATCATGAGAGGAATCTGTGCATTAGACTCCCTTTTTTCTTCCTTCCCCAAACTCCCATGTAGCCTCTTTATCCAGAACCTTCCTTGAAACTCATCTAATTCCTCCTTAAACAGCAGACTACGCTGCCAATTTCTCAGTTTTCTGAGATGTTACTAGACATCTCGGGTTGGGTTTCAGTTTTCCCTCTTCCTGACCTATGAGTTCAACTTTCTCAAACGGCTCCTCTAAGTGTAAGCCACAGAGCCATTTCTCTGTACACATTCTAGATTTGGGTTGCTACTGCCTCTACTCCATTTTTGTCCTTTCCTGCAGATATATAACTACAAAAGGAAATTTAATTTTTGTGGGGCTTCAGAAAAAAGCAAAATGAGCAGCCATGTGCAGAGTAACTCTGTCCATGAGTCGCAAATCATCCTGAATAAGAGGGAAACGCAGGTCAAATTCTGGAGGATTTTGCTGAGCGACTAAACATAGTTCCAGCAACTACATAACAGTAACCATGCATCGTTCGTACTAGCTTTCATTTCTCGCCTGTTGGGACTGACTCAATCACCTTCATGAACTAGATTCAAGTTCAGACCACGAACTTGCACATACACTGGAAACAACAGCAGGACCCAGTGGTGTCCTTGGGATTTAAAGGGACTGATCTGATCATAGGATGCTTAGGTAATTACCTGCAGTTTAATGTTCTTCCTTGCTGCACAACTAATGTAGATGTGATTTCACCATCGAGTTCTCCAAGCCTGGGGATATTGCCAATATTGGTGCATAAAAGGTAACCACAAAGTACATCCCTGTGTTAAAAGAGTAAAATTATTACTTGATCTCTTCCGCAAAGACAAAAGGAAACTTGTACTTTTGGAGTAATGCCTTCCCTATTGCTAGTATTTATTATCCATCAGCTACATTAGTTATGTGTACGCTAAGCAAAATATAACAAGACATTGTCAGTTTGCCTCCTGCTCTCAAAACTGACTTCCCTAAACTCCGAATGGTGATCCGAAGTCCTAAAAACCTCCTAGCCTGTCTCTTAGTGCTTATTAGCTCAAATGTTTGCTTAAAGAAAATTATCCATCAGAAACACCTTTTTATCAGAATGACTTGCATACAGTGTGCTGCTGGATGTGATTAACATGTTAAGAGCGGGGTAAAGGAATAAACTGTGCATGAACCATAGAGCTGCTTCTGCATCGTCTCCCCAAAGCCCAGAGGAGACAACCTGCTGCTCAACAGACTCCCAGCCACAGCCTCAGCAGCCTTCTAAAGACATCACGTGTGCTTACAAGTTAACAGATAAGTTTCTACAATTAAAATAGTGCTTTATATATTCTTTTACCAAACACATTTTAGTTATTATTTAGCGATGACATACATTTAAATGAAAATCTTATAAACACAAAGCCGGATGGTGCTGGCACACCCCTTTAGTCCTAGCAATCAGGAGGCAGAGACAGGTGGCTCTGTGAGCTTGAGGTCAGCCTCGTCTATGAATCGAGTTCCAGGACAGCCAGAGCTACACACAGAGAAGCTCTGTCTCAAAAGACAAAACAAAGTAAAAAAAAAAAAACCAGAAAAATTAACATAGCAGCACAATCACAAATGGAAATACCAGACTTAGGTGCTAGAGAGATGGTTCAGCAGTTAAGGAAACACCAGATGTTATATAATGGATAATAGAGAAAAATAGGCCCTATATTTATCACCAATGTATAAAAGGTATTAACCTATTCCTTATAATAACATGTATATAATGTAAATTATATATACATATAAGGTATAAGTAGAGAAAGAATATAAGATACTAATTCTTTCTCTAGTCCTAGCTACAGGATCTTGGGCACAGACACTAAGTTTGCCTTGGTTTCTTCATCTATAAAATGCGAGGGCTGTCATGACGTTTAAGTGGTAGGCTTATCAAAGTGAGATGAAGTACCTAGCACACAGTGCATGCTTGCTATATGACAAAGGCGACTCTGTTAATTAGCTATGAGGAGCTAGCAAAATGTGAGCAACGAATTGACATATTTAAAAGGATTTAGAAGATTATTCTAGTAATAGTATGCTTGAGAATGTCGGTAGAGAGCACTCAAGGGATTTTTGTAGTAGTTACATTATAGGGCTTAGTTGTGCCAATGACAATAACAATGGAAATAAAAAGATAAATTCACAATAAATGGTAAGGAGCAAAGGGGGAAACCAAGCATGATTCATGTTTGGACAACATGCAGAGAGATGGAGTCAACGTGCAAAAAGACAGTTAGTCAGTATGCAGAAAGATGGAGGAGTCAGTGTGCAGAAAGATGGGGTCAGAGTGCAGAAAGATGGAATCAATTATTCTTATCTACATGGGAGAGCGAAACACTGAGACATTCAGCAAAGACAAGAGGTAGTTAAGAAAGGTCAGAGCTAGCTAATTTACTCAACAGTATTGGTGATGGTGATTCTTCCTCAGTCTTAAGATGCTGGAAGGTCCTGTCTATGTGAGAAAGTGTAGCAACTACAAGAATAACCTAGACCCTGAAAAAGAGGCCCAGGTATATTTCAAGAATCAGGGTCATCAGTGATGCTGGGGCTCTGGGAAAGTTGAGGAAAACAGACAAGATAGTGCATTTTATTAAGCACCCAAAACAGGAAGATCCCACTTAGAATTTATGCTTGTAAACAAAATGAAGGCTAAAGTCTGGGTTAGCGTCGGCATTCACCGTTTGTTGCACTGTATCCAGGTGTCTTTGTCTTTTCCACAGTTTCCCTTCTCCGTCCCCTCGATGTTCAGCTTTTCATAGCAATACTTGTCTGATGCCGTCACCTCTGAAGCAGAAAAGAATTTCCCATCAGAGACGGAGGGAACTCGGGAGCCGTTCACAGGTTTGCAGCAAAGAAAGCTGCAGGTTGCACCATCACTTACAAAAGCGTACCATACTGCAGACATGGCTGGGGCACATCTTCCTTATGTGATATCGGAAATCCAGTATACGTAGCTGTCTGAGGGGAATTAGACTACGGACTGTGGGAACACTCCCCAGGATCTGACGCAAATTAGGGGATGGTGCTATCCTTGAATACACATTTTAATCTCAGTACTGAATGCATGAGTCTCAATCAAAAACTTTATTACTAAAAAGGGCAATATTATTGAAATATCTATGTAGTACAATCAGATTCAAGAAACAGACCTTGCTTACCAATTCTTAACTGCAATAAATAAAAATCTTGTAATCAGCTTTTGGATGAGATTGGGTTCATGCTATCTATAAATGCAAAGATCATCTTAAGGTGCTGCATCATCCTTGCAGGCTTTGATCTCTTCTGAATCGAGTGCTGACTATCAGAGTCACCTGCTAGAACAAAGTGGTTTTCCAGCCAGGGAGGGTGGGATAACAATCTCATCTCAGCAAGCTGGAGATGGAGGCAGGAGGATTACGAGTTCAAGATCATCCTCCTAAATTACACAGGAGACTCAAGACCAGCCTAGACCAAATAGAGATCCTATGTGAAAAAGAGAGGGAGAAAACAACAACAATAAAAACCAAACAAACAAAACAATAATGAAGGCTTTTGTAAATTCATCAAATGAAAGATGGTGATATAAGTTACGTTTTGCTAATCCAAACTCTGAAATGTTTCATGTTCCAAGACTTTTCAAGAGCTCACACGATACCACGACCACATGTAGAAAATTCCATGACCTAGGCTGAAGAGATGGCCCGGTGAGTAACAGAATGTGCTGTGCACATAGGAGGACTTGGGCTCAGATCACATACAAAGCCAGACATGAACATGCATGTGACTGCGACCCCTGAGCTATGGGGAGTAGAGGCAGGAGCACGGCAGGGCTTGCTGACTGCCATCTTAGCTCCTGGTCCTGGGAGAGCCTGTCTCCATAGAATAAGGTGGAGAGTGATGGAACAGGTCATCTAATGTCCTCCTCGGCATTCTGTGGATGCACAGGCATGCACACCTGCACAAATACATCTGCATAACACACATACACACACACACACACAAGTGTTTTTAAAAAGTAAAGTCCATGTCCTGATCCAATATAAGAAGTCTCATTAAAAATGCAGATGTATTAAATATACTAAAAATATTATATAAAATTATTTTCAGGATATGTATGTATACATAAATCACAAATGAACTTCATGGTTAGACTTGGGCCACAGGAAACATATTCCCTGACATGAAATTGCACATCCTACACACCTCTGGCACTAGGCATTTCAGAGCAGGGTCACTGGAGGTGTGCATAGTGAACAGCAGCTAATGACATCACTAGGTCCTCGGCTGTTTTGCTCAAGCAGAGGAAGGAAAACTGAGAGTACAAACCAGCATAACTAATGTTTTTTTCTCATCTCAATGCTTATCAAGAGATTCAGAGAACACATGCTCCTTACCTAAAGGATTCCAGTCACTCCCTCTGATACATAAGAATTACAATTTGTTTTACAGTTTTTCCTAGTACAAATCATCTCTCAAAAGAACTTTGAATAGTCTAGACATGGTAGCCCAAGCCTGTAATTCTAGCACTTGAGAAGTTGAGGCAAGAAGCTACAAATTCGAGGTCTAATTGGCCAAGATACATGGCGAGGTTACATAGTAACACTCCACCTGAGAAATATATTTTAAAGAGTTTAGAACAAAAACATCTTCCAAAAATATTGCCAAGAAATTCTGAGGGAAATACACAATACATTTAAATGTTAATTTAGATTTAGTAAAACTTAAATACTATTATTTAAATAAAAATGTTATATATTCTCCTTTAAAACCCGGACAGATTTTGAAGAGAATAAATTAACGTTTTTGTCTTTTGCAGGACAATGACCTCAGCAGAAGGTCACCTCTAGCTACAAAAGCCAGTTGGAGCTTAAAGAAGATAGTAGATGAGGAAAAAGCAACGGAGTTAAATCGCTTAGGTCTAAGGCAAGGATACCCTACCCAGAGACCATGTCCACTCCATATGGCTGTACGAGGGCCATATGGGATCCTTCGCTCAAGGGTACTCAGCTGAGGAGCTGAAATCAAGTCTGCTCTGTTCTCCAAGCTGTGCACCAGGTGGGCTCGCCTGCCTGGCAGCAAAGGCACCTGCTGTCTCATCCACAGGCACTGCCAACTAGCCAGAACTTTGGGGCCATGGCTTCCCAAGGAAAGTGCCCTTATCTAATTTCTAAAGAAGAAATTACCTACCTAACGCTGAAGTGGTTTAAAGAAGACCCCTAATTATTAAGTATTAGCAATTTATTTCTAGCCTGTATGTCCTTAAAGGAGTGTGCTAAAACTGTGTGGAAAAGCAATCAAGCCATGTGACTTAACTTACTGTGCCCCCAGATGTATTTGCATTGTCTATCTCTGGTTTTACACCTTCCTCCAAAGCAAATTCCCTAAAATGAGAAAGCGAATATCCATCAGTGAAAACACAGCAGAGGCTGTGGTTAGACAACAGAAAAAGAACATACAGTTGGGAAGAACAGCCATTGAGTGTGGTCATCTGAAGTGATTATGAACCATTCAAACTGATCTTTTTTATTCAGTTTTTTAAATTTCATTTTACATTCCAACCGCAGTTCTCCCTTCCAGAACCCCTCCTCCCATCCCCACCTCGCCTCTCCCCCAGCCCATCTCCCATCCTCTCCTCCCAATGGGCAAGGGCTCCGATGGGGAGTCAGCAAAGTCCAGCACATTAAATTGGGGCAGAATCAAGCCCCCCCTCCCCTGCATCTTCTTATTGAGATAAATTTTCAGTGTTTTTCTCATGCTGGTACCCACGGAAATTTTAGGCAAAAGTGAGTGACCTACCTGAGTACCGTCACAGGAGTATCCATCCATTTTATGTACATTGGGGGCACACTAGGGAGAAAGAACAAATTATCATCCAAACGCAGACCAAACACAGGACGGATTAATTCCTGTTAGTGCTCTCAGTCTATAAATCACAGTAGACAATACACCTAGCCCCTTGAACTACATATAAATAAAAAGCAGATTAAAAGCAGGTAGAAGGAAACAGAGTTGCTGAGTATCACTTTAAAAATATGACGTCTAGCCTGAACTGGCCCTATCCTATAGCCACACTGATGAATATCTTGCATATCACCATAGAACCTTCATCTGGCGATGGATGGAGATAGAGACAGAGACCCACATTGGAGCACTGGACTGAGCTCCCAAGGTCCAAATAAGGAACAGAAAGAGGGAGAACATGAGCAAGGAAGTCAGGACTGCGAGGGGTGCGTCCACCCACTGAGACGGTGGGACTGATCTAATGAGAGCTCACCAAGGCCACCTGGACTGGGACTGAAGCATGTGATCAGACCGGACCCTCTGAACGTGGCTGACAATGAGGGCTAACTGAGAAGCCAAAGACAATGGCACTGGATTTTTATTCTACTGCATGGACTGACTTTGTGGGAGCCTGGTTTGTTTGCATGCTCACCTTCATAGACCTGGATGGAGGGGGGAGGACCTTGGACTTCCCACAGGGCTGGGAATTCTGACTGCTCTTAGGACTGGAGAGGGAAGGGGAGGGGGAAGGGGGGAGTGGGAGGGAAATGGGAGGAGGGGAGGAGGTGGAAATTTTTAATAAATAAATAAAAATAATGCAAAAAATATAACATCTAGCCAAGGTAAAAACTGATTGCACAGCCACAAAAGCAGAGAACTTACGAGAATGGCTCGGTAAATAACGTATGCATTAGTGTATGCTTCATTCAGAGACGCTATTCCTTAGAGAAGAAGACAGGGCTTGAGACAAAAGTGAGAGCAGGCCCCCATTAGTGAAGCCGTAAGTAGAGTTTCCTCTCTTTGGCCACCAGGACAACATAGCCTATCACTTAAAATGCTGGGGGCAGAGGAACAGCAGAGGGAGCAGGGGCAGGAAGCTGGAGACAATATCAACTAAAGGGAGACACATCTCAAAATCTACTATGAACTCATTATTCATCAGAGAAATTTAGAAATAAAAATATCTTTTAAGAGAAAGACAAAAATAGGAAGGATCTTGAAAGGAGGGGGAAAGTGTCAAGTCGTCTCTGTTATTAACTGTGGAAAAGAATGCTATGCTTTATTATTATTTTTCCTTGAAGTAGTTTAAAAATTGTAAATTATCTGTTGAGGATACAACCAGACATGTACAATCCATTACAGCAGCGAAAGAAAAATAAGTGGCTATGTCTTGGGGAAGAGGCAGAGGGACAGAAAAAAGATGTGACAGAGACTACCCCGTGTGGCTAGCTTTACTTTCTAGACATCCATCTCCATCCTTTCCCAGAAAACCTGATGTTTAAGATAAAAGTCAAACGAAACTATAGACACATAACTTTCTGCTCCTTCTTTTTGCCGCATAAACTTCCTTGTATCATTGCTATATGGATTTACAGATATCATTCATAATGGATACAACATATGAAATGAAGGTAATCATGAGTGTGCTAGAGCAATCCCCTATAGCAATCCTGTTTAACCTAACCCTACACAGCACCTCTGAGAAGCCTGGAGTTAGGACTTTTTAACAATTCCTGTTTATTTATAATCATACCGGTGTGGTATACTTATGCCTAGGTGCCTTGGTGGTAATTATTGTGTCCTTATTTCCATGAGGCATTAGCTGGGAAGGCTGCTAATTACAGAGTAAGAAAGGAGTCTACGTTTACATAAAGATCTCTCTGTAGCCTTAAAGATTAGTCATTTTTACAACTATAGGTATATCATTACTTAATTCATCTTCTCTGGCAGCAAAGAGAATGACAGCAGTCCTTGATGTATGAATCTCAGTTTCTATGGCTTTGCTAAACAAAACACAAGCACAAAGCACAAACGCTACAAAACAGCAACTTCTCTCCTAGCCTTGTGTTATCTGGTCATGGGGTAAGGGGAAAATGCTCATCATGATCAATGACCTATCTTGTCCCATCTTCCTGGTGTATTTTCTCGGTCACAACAGGTCTTTTTGTTTCTTAGTGATGTCATGTAAGATTTTGCAAGACAATAACCAAAAAAGATGCTGGCCAACAATGACACAAATGTAAAAGCCAGCTGTGAATCTTAATAGAACATTTGCCTGGTATGCACAAGGCCTTGGTCTGATCCCCAACCTCCGGTGTGATGGGACAGAGTCAAGTGACATCTTGCCCCATGTTCATTTTTACTGCAACACACCCAAGCTGTCCCCACTTCCCCTGTAGTTACCCTGTGTTGGGTAATTACTGTATAGATTACCTGGCTAGAATTTCCTGAACATATTTCACGAATATCACAATCATTGACTGCTTCTCGGCACACAGTCCCCAAAGGCTGAAACTGAAAAGAACATCACTCAATGTGCAAAAGAACACCTTAAACTACTTGAAGATAGCAGGGTGCACAAAACAAATTTATTCAATAAACTACTATTTTAATTAGTTGCAAGTCATAGTTTCTCGTAGGTGAGGTAACTTCCATAGTCACCACACATAAGTGTCACAATGTCCTGCTAAAACAGGGCAGAGCTTCAAGGATGAGTTAGCCCATGCTCCAGAAATTCTTGTCAAGCAATCTGGACTGGGGCTTTAGCCTCCTTTCTTATTTACACCTTTATCTTTGAGCTTCTGCTTCTGCTTCTTGTCTTCGCCGCCGAGAATTTTGAAGTTACATTTTGGACCGCATCACAGTTACTCTCCAGCAAAGCCCCTTCCCCCAAGCTATCCCCCTGCCTCATCTCTTCTGATTTTCTCTTATTAGAACCTCTGGACAAGCATTTGTGCTTCTCGTTTTCCAAAATACCTCCAATACTTCGTACACGTGTGATGTTGTGGAATCAGCCTTGAGCGTCACTGGACTTACAGACTGCAATCTAACTCCTTTAAAACACAGCACTTGTCAGAGCTCTCTCATGTCCCCCTTTCCTTTTTCCTCTCTCAGAATTGCTGGTATCGGGGACTGGGCCCATCTCTGTGTTTATGCTCAGGACCCTGCTCCCTGACTCACTGCTCAGAACCTTCCAGGCACCCAAGCCGAGAGAGAGAGAGAGAGAGAGAGAGAGAGAGAGAGAGAGAGAGCATCTGCGTTACATGTGGTTTAACCTCCCCATGAAGAGAGTGCTTTTGGAGACCCCACAGAAAGCAGCCAGAGACTCAGCAATGGAGGGGAAATGACAGGAACCACTGCTGGCAGGGCTGGGGGTCAGCAGACAGCTGTGCCTTCCTCTGAGTCAGTCTCTGCAGGTTCCTTAGCATCATTAGATCAGAACAGCTCAACTGTTGAAATCGGGATGGTCATGCCTATTCCAACAGTGCGCCTGTGAGTGTTATCTAAGACAGCAGTAGCAGGCAGGGGTGATTTTGCCCCAAAGGAGACATTTTTACAACATCTGGAGACATTCTGGGTTGTCACAAGTGAGGAAGCTCTTCTACAATCTAATGGGTGCAACGCAAGGATGTTGCTAACGTCCGATAAAGCAGAAGGCACACCCTGACTACAGACAGTGTCTTATTCCTAGCCAGACAAGAATGTTGGTGCCAGTCGGGAAACCCGGATTTAAGATGACACACGTCAAAAGTGCTTAGCCCAAAGAGGGCAGTTGTCACGACAGTTTTATATGTCACCTTTCTTTAACCCATCAAAGCTATCTGACCTGCAGATATTCACTGGAAGTAACATGCACGTTCACATATGCACTTAACAAACAGGCACTGATAAGCTACACCAGTTAAGACACAAAGAATCATGCACGTTTCCATGTCAATATAGTATGATCTTGTTTAAAACATGCCTCTTGTTGCCTAAGATACTGATGTTGTAGGATGTGCAAAGATGCACAACAAGAGAAGACGTCTTCTACTCTGAGACTGGTCCTCTTTACGGTGCCTGTACCTCGGGAGGCAGGATGAGAAGAACAGCCTCAGAGATGTAACAGGGTTAGGTCCCAGCTCTCTCATATTCTGGTTTAAGACACTGGGCAAGTTAACTATTGCATGAGAATGCTAACAAAGCCACACTTTAGGAGACTGCAGGAGGATCCTATAACCACTAGGACTTCAGTCATTTGCTCCCTGTTAGATAGTGCTTTTAGGTTATATGGACCTAGACTTAACAGTTTGAGCACACGCCTCCCCTTCAACCTTTGGCCATTAATCGGCCAGTTACTTACCTTGCACTTTTTACAGCAGAGACCATCACTGCATTGAGAATCCTGGGTCAAGGTACACTTCTTACAGCACTCTGCCCCTTCAAGGGCGCATTCCTAAGGAATATAAGCCATTGCAAAACACTAGAAAATGTCATTTTCCCAAAAACACCAAGATTTTTTTTTAAAGTAAATGTTCAAGCTCACAATGACAATCATTCACCCACAAATTCTATAAAATTTCTAGGTATAGTGCTCAGTATTATCTCAAGGGCATAGGGCTAGAATGACCCCTAGCTACCCCAAACTGGTCTTCAAAATGACAGGGGACCTACCGCAACGGTGCCACAGTCACACTCTCCCCAGCTTCAATGAAGGGGACCTACCGCAGAGGTGCCACAGTCACACTCTTCCCTAGGACCTACCACAGTGGTACCACAGTCACACTCTTCCCCTGGACCTACCGCAGAGGTGCCACAGTCACACTCTTCCCCGGGACCTAC